TCGGTTCATTTGCCGGCGCCATTAGGTTGGCGTCTGTGGCTTCCTCGACCGTAATAATGGGAGGGGGGGCCTGGGCGACAAATGTGCGCGGTTTCGCGGAGGGCTTGCCGCGCCGCTGTTGCGCCCTAGGCACAATTGTATTCGTCTGGGGGAGAGGGGGGCGGGGTTTGATACCCCTCTGCCTGGCCTCTCTTTTGTAGACCGCACACTTGCGGTCATTGGCAGTGTGCGGCTTGGCACAGTTGGCGCAGGTCGGTTTGTGGTCCCGCGGGCGGTCGCAGTCCGCTGCCAGGTGGTCACCCGCGCAGCGGACGCATTTGAGTGGACGGTGGCAATTTGTCGAGGCGTGCCCGAACGCCTGGCATCGGTGGCATTGCGCGAGCACCGATGCCGGCTTCCACGCCTCGATGACCACACCTCGCATGCAGAGGAGCTCTGTGACGGCATATAGCCGAGCGAGCTCCTCTTTCGCCATGGGGTCCAGCTGTGCGTGGAATATGCATCCGGGGCGGCCGCGGCGCGCCGGAATGCCGCGCACCAAACGCACGCCGAACCCCCTGTGCTCCAGGGCCTCCACTATACTATCAATTGGGGTGTCCGCTGGGAGGCCCCTTATGGCTACCTTGGTCGGTAGCTCCGAGGCCAGGCTGTAGTAGTACCAGCTTATGGTGGGGTCCCTCTCGCTAGCCTCCACCAGGTACTTTTGTATAGCACGGAATTCCGCATCCGACTTAGGGAGAAATCGGAATCCCGTGCTGAAGGGGCGGGCGTTGGGTGCCTCGCCCAGGACTCTCGCCAGATTCGCAAAGTGGCGGGTCCAATTCGGCAACCTCTCAGCCACTATAGGCGGATATTTAGCCGCCGCAGTGGCTGGCCCTTCGCTTCCCGAGAGTTGGGGGGGGGCTGGCACGACCGGTGCTGCCGCCGGAGTGGCGGTTGAGGACGACGGTCCTGCTGCTATCGCCGCAAACGACGGAGGAGTCCTCGTCCTTGGTGAGGGGACGGGCGGCGGGACTGACTCCATTGTCGGGTCACTAGCAATGCCCGCGTATGACGTTACGTCAAAGTCACCCCGGTTCAAGGTGAACGAGCGGGGTGAGGCGCGGGGCGAGGCGCGGGGTGTGGGGACAGGGGACTGCGGTGACGAGTAGGCGTCGCCGTAGTAGCACCCGTCTGTCTCTTCTTCCCCGCTTCCAGATGAGGGAGAAGATGAGCGCGGGGGCAGCAGCGGCGATCGCCGCATTGCACCTGTCTGGGGGAGGGGCTGGTTGCTCCTGTCCACCAGACGGAACTGGGGCCTCGGAGGCGACCTCTCTAGGTCGATGTCGGACGGGGGGGACTCCTCCATGTCCCTCCTCTTGTCACCTCGAGCCGGCGACGACGGCGACGGCGGCGTGCGCCTTTTCGAGGGGCCAGGTTGTGCTCCCGTTACCCCCCCGCCTTGTTCCCGGTCGGCGGCATCATTGCCGCTTCCCGCGAGGGCAGGGGGGGTACCTTTGGTTCCCGGGCGAGCGTGGAATGTCCCCAACTCGGTGGTGGGGACGAGCTTGGTCGGGTCCGTGAGGTCCCGACGCACTACTGTGCGTGGGTTACCCCTGTCGGGGGGTTTCCTAGGGGCTTTTCCCCGTTGGGACATGCTCTTGGGTCTACTCCTGCGTTGGGGACACGACACGACCTGAAAAATCCAGGCCGCGCCCTAACCAATCTAACGCAGGTGCACTTGTCCTCCCCGTGAGGCGGCACCTGCGGGATTGGAGAGGGTGGTGTGGGGGTTGGAACCCCACTGCGAACCTTCTAAGAAGGTGGGTTGTGGCCCTGAAGGGCAGCAGTCACTTTGGTGACAATCGCAGTTGGATTGCAGCGACGAATTTGCACCAACAAATTCGGTCTGCAATCTTAGCGTGTTCTCTCGCTAAACAAAGTACACTTTGTGTAGCTGGATTACGCACTGTATCGCTCTCAACAATTTGCGCAAGTGGGCACCAGTTGCGGGGCTCACTCTGGAGACTCGACGGCGAACCGGAGTCTCACAGAGGATCACACGACCAACGGTAAACTCAGCAAGCAACAAATTGGAAAGCGACTCAATTATTTTCATTCGGCACAAATGACTATTGAATCTAGCGTGACCAAAACGAAGTCGTATAAGGAGTGTGTAAAATTTCCGGTTTTTATAAACTCTAGATTTAGTGAACCAGGGTGAGGAATGAATATTTTTGTTAATGGAGTAAAACCAATTACCCTTGGTCTTTAGCGAAAGTTGCCACTGTTCAATCCATTTTTGACGAAAACTCTTGTAAACTATAGAAAGAATGTCGGAATAAGGTATGGCAACATCCTTGACAACGCCAAAGTCATTGTTGGTGATAGTTCTTGCCAGGAAATCTGCGTTTTCATTACCGAAAACACCAATATGTGATGGTGTCCATAATAAAATAATATCATAACACTCCAATGAGAGCTCATATAATATTTGCTTAATGCTATCTATGATATAATTGGTTTTATAATGTAGTTTGTTACTTTGAAGAGCAGTTAAAACACTCATACTGTCTGTGACAATTAACCATTTTTTGCAATTGCCCCTATCATCTTTTATATAACAAAGTGCATTTAAAATAGCCAAAGATTCTGCTGAAAAAATACTAAATTCTTTATGTATTCTAGTTCCATGACCGGTTCTGATACTTGGTATAAGTATAGAGCAAAGGATGTTCTCGATTCGTTTTTAGAACCGTCTGTAAATATGGATTGATGAGTTGAAAATGTAGACAACTTGTTATAAACTTCTTGTTTGGTCCTTAACTCAGAGTCAATTACAATATTAATATTTGGAAATTTACTTTCAAATGGTCCATGGTAACAATTCTAAAATCTATTGCTTTTGTGAATTTTGTATTGCTGATCAATATTGATTGAGTCAGAGAAATCATGAAGTATATAGGGAACTGTTTTAGAATTAGAAAGGGGAAATAAAGAAGTAATATGTTTGAGCTTTTGTAAGAGTGGATCTTCAGAAAAGGATAATAATTTTAGGATGAATCTTTGTTTTAAGTACCAGAATCTCAGGTTTAATGGTGGTATACAGCACTCTACTTGTAAGGAATTTATAGGGGTTGTTTTCATTGCACCAGTTATGTATCTTAAATTATTATTCTGAAGTACTTCAAGTTTATGAAGCTTGTTTTGGTCAGAACCAAAACATAGATAGCCATATTCAAAGTGGCTGCGAATCAAGGATTTGTACAGCATTAAAAGGATCTTAGGATCACATTTATATAGAGCTTTGATAATATTAAATGCTTTGGAAGCTTTACCTAGTAAATAATCAACATATTTGTTCCAAGACAAATTGCTACAAAAAATAACACCTAAAAATCTAACTTCAGCAGTAATAGGTAGTTGTGAATTATTATATAATATTTTAATGTTTTTGTAGGATTTATTAGTTTTAGAAAATATTACTACTTTAGATTTGTCAGGGCTTACATCTAAATTGAGGTATTTAAAGTAATCTGTTAATCTTAACAATGCATTACTTATTATTTCTGTAACTTTATTAATGTCTGGGCCTGAAAAGTATATAACAAGGTCATCTGCAAATTGAAGATTCCTGACATGTGGCCCTAAAATTAAATTAAGTTTGTGTATATAGAGGATAAAGAGTAATGGACTAAGTATTCCACCTTGACACACACCTTTATAAGAAAGACGAGGTCCTATTAACTGCTTGTTAACTTTAACAAAAACTTCTCTACCATTTAAAAAGTTATAGACCCAGTTTATAATTTTTCCAGGTATACCAATAGAAACAAGTTCCAGAGTGAGAATGTGATGATTGACATTATTGAATGCACCAATAATATCAAAGAATACCCCAATCAAAACTTCATTGCATTTAAGTGCTTTAAATATATCAATATGAAGATGAGTAACACTCTCAGAGGCAGATTTACCTCTACGAAAACCAAACTGATTTGCTGGTAATAAACAATTACTCTCTATGTAGAATTCTAGTCTTTGTTTTAATAATTGCTCAAATATTTTTCCCATGCAGGAGGTCAGAGTTATAGGTCTATAGGAATCTATTTCATTTGGATTTTTGTTTGGTTTTAAAATTGGAATAATACAATCTTTTTTCCAATCGGAAGGAATAAGTGAATCTTTCCACAGTGCATTATAAATACATAGAACAATATTTTTAGAGGTATAAGAGAGGTTTTTTAATAATTTATATGGTATGCCATCGAGACCAAATGCTGTATCTCTTCGGGTAGATATGGCTGCATTAAATTCATAAAAAGTGAAGGGTTTATTTAAATAATTTAATTTGTTACTATTTTCATTAATGTGTGATTTAAATTGGGTCTCGACAGTGTCAGGAGTATATTTTTTAAGAAAATTAGAAATCCAGTTATTATTATTTGAAATCTGACTATATACATAAGTTTTATTGAATTTTTTAACAGTATTCCAAATTTTGGAAATGGGTGTGGTGCGATTAAAATTTTCACAAAACTTATTCCAGCTAATTGATTGTTCTTTTTTAAGTATTAATTTTTTTTTGGCTTGTAACCTTTTAAAAGCAATATAATTTGCCTCTGATGGGTCATTTTTAAAATTAACATATGCCTGTTTAGAGTTATCTACTGCAAGAGTACATTTTTGATTCCACCAAGGTAATGGAATCCTTTTATTTTTAAAAGGAATATCATTTGTAGAGCTTATGGGTTTTGATTTTGATATACAACATTTGTCTATAGCTAAATTGAAAATATCAATTAATTTAGTATAACACTGCAGGGGTGAATTACTATAAGTGTAAAGTGTAAAATCTTGTAACAAACTATCTGTGATCTTCTTATACATGGTCCAATCTATAAGATTGTAATTATGAAATTTGGGATAATCTGAGGATTCTGGTAATCTAGTGCAATTGTTATTAATTACTATTTTTGTTATTACAGGTAAATGGTAGCTACCTAAGGGATCATTATGTACCATCCAATTTGAAGCAAGAGATAAGCAAGGGGATGCAATAGTAAGGTCAAGTGCATTACTCTGCCATCTGTGTGATCCTACTGTAGTCGGTGTACCATCATTTAAGATGACCAAGTTGTTACCATCAATACATTCAAGAATGTCACGACCACGAGCATTAATAGACGAGCAACCCCATGCTGTGTGATGAGCATTAAAATCACCAGCAACCAACATGGGTTCTGGAATACTATTAAGAAGATTACTGAATTTATTTTTGTTAAAACGTGGACTACAATTATTTGGGCTATAAAAACTAACAACTGACATTTCTGTGTTTTTATATTTTAATCGTACCGCAATATTCTGTAAGGAATCATCACTATATGTATCAATTTTACTGAATTCTATACTTTTATGAACTAAAATTGCAACGCCGTTATGGTCATTGCCTGAGTCTAATCTAACAATGTTAAAGCTTTTAATATTTAATTTATAGTAGGCTTTTAGCCAGGTTTCTGATATCAGAGCAATATGAATATTGTTCTCCGATAGAAAATGTGTAAAGATTTGTTGATTACTTACTAAACTTTGTGCATTCCACTGGACTATTACTATACTGTCCATAAAAAATTAAAAATTAAAAAAAGGATTAATCTGGGTTTTTTTTATTCTGTAATGTCTCTAGGAGAACTTGTTTTATATTTTCTGTACATATTGTTTTGTCATTGGTTCTATTCAATGTTATAATTTTAACAATTGATTCTAATAGGGTATTTAAAATTTGGTCAGAATTAAGTAGGGATATAAATTGTGCCGAAGGTGAAGTTTTGGTACTGCCTAATTGAGGAAATGATTTCTCTCTAACAATATCAGCATAACTTTGTACTTTATTTTTATTCTCCTCTATTTTCTTTTTCTTAATAGGACACTGTGATGAAATGGCTATATGATTACCATTGCAGTGACAACATTTGGCTTCGTTAATATTTGCGGAACAATTTTTGAAATTATGATTATTTCCGCATACTGAGCATCTTTCAGCGTTCTTACAGAACTTAGCGATATGACCATACCTTAAACATTTAAGACACTGCTTTACAGGAGGAATATAAGGCCTCACCACAAAGCGCCAGCTATTCAGGTCAACGGTGTCGGGAAGTACAGGACAGGAAAATGTGATGGAGACAGTTTTAGTCGGCTGCATTGTAAAGGTGTTATCATCACCTTTAATACGCCTCATGAATCTGCGTACACAAACAATATTTTTTGAGCTGGTTATATTAGAGTATATTTGTTCGTTCGATAGATGCGTAGGAACATGCTGAACTACTCCAGTTACTTCCGTGGCTGAAGCTGGTATACTTGCCTTTAATTTAAATCCGTCTAGAAATTTTTTATTAACTAAGGCTGCATTAGCTAAACCGGGGCGTTCAAAAATGACGCCGATCTTAAATTTATTCATCCTTAATAATTGCTTAACTCCTTTATTGTATTTTTTCAAATTAGTAGCTAAGGACATCATATCCCTATCACCGATTGGCTTATTACTATCTGTACTCTCCATAAATACAATGTATTCAAAGTTTCCACCATCCTCAGGATAGTACCGAACATAATCTGGTATTTGAAATGCCTTATACTTATCCACATCCTCAGGTGCCGATTCCGAGTCAGACCCTAGAAAATTAATATCATCGGATGTATCATCCGATATTTCCTCCTTCTTTTTTCGCTTCTTCCCGCTCCTCTTCGTCATCTTTACTAGTTTTGATTAAAAAAACTCAATAAAATATAATTTTCCAAAACTAGCGCGAAAAAATACGTGTAGTCGCTTTGAAAGTTCCCGCGCTTTTTCCTTTCAAAGATGATTCGGTCTCTTTTAAGATGATATTGACCCTTTCTCTCATACAGTTTTACGTTCATCTCGCTGTCTACGAACGTTTTTTCTATATGCATGTAGTCTACTCTATGGTACAGATGACAAATTGTACAGATACGATTTGTTGTTTGACAGTTTTTAATTAGTAGTTTACTGATCTGTACTAATGTATTATCGTCTGTTTATTTCTTTATTCTTTATTTACATGTAATGATTTGTATTCGAACGTTTGTGAGAGATAATACAATAATTATATTATATATACTTACATCGATGTAATACATGAATTGCACTAATTTGTCTTTTTTTATGATGTGTTGAATTTGTATATATATTTTTAGAAAGACAAGTGAGTTCAAAACTAATACGATTGATGTAATATATTCTATTCACCTGATACTGATAAGCCACATGCAATTATTGGTATTTACATTTTATAATATCCACAAGTTGTATATAATAATTTATTGTTATTATTCAAGGATAAAATGGAAAATCCTGAAATAGGTACTAGTGCATCTAATCGTATATCAACAACGTCATGGTGTCACCCTGCACACAAAATACATCGGTTCACAGCGCTATTGTTAATGTGTTTCCTTTGTTTTGGTGAGTAATCTTTGTCTGTAGCTTTTTTACTAAAACCAGCTGTGTATAAACTTATTACAAGTTATAATTATAATAAATTTCCTGGCTACTTTGTACTCATATATTCAAATAATACATAACTTTAATTAAATTTATCTTATCATATGTTTATGTACTTACATTGTAAATAATGTTATGAATATGTTATATGATGCTTCAAAATTTTACTCAAGTTATACATTCCTGCTTGTTAGAAAATGCTATGTTTACCTTATAATAGCCCTAATAATCTGTAATAAACAATCTTATTATGTGGTTAACAATGTTTTACATAAATAGTATAAAAATGAAATATAAAGTGATATTATAATAATAATATTTATTTATCAACTACAAGAAGTCAGTAAATATAGAAAAGGGATTTTTTTCTATGTATTAATGAATTTATTTAATTGTAATAAAAGAAAGAAATTTTAATAAAAAATCAATTTATTTTCTTATTAGTGTTCAAATTAATCATCTGTAATTTATTAATGATTAACTATATATTTTATAAAAAAGTGAATTTTTGTATCCTTTATTAATAAGAATACTCCTGCAAGCTACAACTTATGCAACTCATTTTTATTTAAAATGCAACATGTCGACATATATGTACAGCAAATAAATGATATTAAGTAATAATAATGTTTCACTGATTTCAGGTTCATATTTCTGTTATGACACACCCGGAGCTCTGGTAGATAATTTCAAGGATGACTCACATTTAAACACATCTCAGTTTGCATTGTTGTATTCAATTTACTCATGGCCTAATGTAATATTATGTTTCATTGGTGGTTATCTAATTGATAGGTTTGTTATTAGTATTTGCCAATACTTATTTGTTACTTTACAAATATAATTTTCTAAATAAATAACTATGTAGAATTGTTTTGTATTTTAAGAACTAGAATTAAACATTAATTTTGTATTAACTTTTTTAAGGTACTTTGGTGTTCGATTGGGCACTGTAATATACATGGCTATAGTTTTGATAGGAGCTGTAATATTTGCCTTTGGAGTATATGTCAATGCATTTTGGCTAATGATTCTCGGCAGATTTGTTTTTGGGTAAGAATTAAATTTAATTTCATGTTTCTATTTACATGAATACTACCTCCCCAAAAAATTACACGAATGTACAAAAGGGAAATTTAAGATTGTTTACTTGACTAAACAATTTATATACTTGCTGTATGTCCTATATGGAATACAGCTTACAGTATTCAATGATAAAATATTTCTATATATATCGACTACAGAATTGCTTAAGTATTTTTAGAGTTATTTTATTTTATTTGTAATAAAATAAAATATACAAATAATGAATTTTCATAATAATAATAGTATTGAATTAATAATACTATTGATAATATAGACATGCATGTGTTATATTGCTGCAACGTCATTATAATTTAAAAAAGTCTGTAGATTTATTACAAGATTGAATTCTATATATTGCAAATACAATCACCAAATTCCGTTTCGAATCGATATTGCCCTCTACACGAAACAAAACTCATTTTAATATTGGTTGAAACTAAAAAGTAATTATTCTTATTCGAGAGACAAAGTAGCGGTCACAAACATGCATAACAATATTATTTGTATGTGTAGTCATTATCTTAAATTACGTCCTTATTTGGATGCAATTACCTACACTGAATTAGGTTAATGAGCATGTATCGATAAGAATTGACAGCAAAGGAACTGCGATACTAAGGGTAGGTTTATCTAATTACAATATGTTGAATTAGAAACATTTGATACCGCAGAAATTTGACCTGAAAACTTTGTTAGTGATAGACTTGCATAAAATAGGGCCCCATTTTTTATATAAATAAATAATGACTACGCATTTGAAGTAGCACAGTGATAAATACTCCTCATGCAATGCCATTACGTGACCTACGTAAGCTAACCAAGGGGAATTATACTGGTTTCAATTTGATTATTTATACCTACAATTAGGAAAAATCACGGGATCTTACGTTTTATTTATTTTTATGGAGACATTAAATTAAAATCCATGGATGATTTATTAATTAGATCTAAACTATTATTTCAGAATAGGAGGAGAATCACTACAAGTAGCTGTGAACAACTATGTAGTTCTTTGGTTTAAAGGAAAAGAGCTCAATATGGTATTTGGATTGCAATTGTCCTTTTCCAGATTTGGAAGTACAGTAAATTTCTGGGTTATGGAACCCATTTATAAATGGGTTGGCAATTACTACGCTGGTTACGAAAGGCTAGGAGTTGCATTATTTATTGGTAAGTTTTCATATATTCTATGTTGGTAAGTTCTATTTGGGATAATATTTAAATCAATCTATAAATTAGATGCAAACATAAAAATATCTAAGGACTTTGATGGAAATTATTATTATTTCTTAAAAATAACTGATAATATTCCAGTGGTCTTAAGGGTATATTTTCGTTATAAATAAATTTATATTAAGTAGGTATATATTTAGATTATAAACCTATTTTTTGTAATGATTAGCTATATGCCAAATAAAATATAGTGATTCCAGTTGTACCCTTTTGGTTCGGAACCAAATCCTAAGTGTGCTAACATATTAGTTTTGTTTTCAATGCATAGAAAACACAATTTTTGAAATTACTAATATCATTATTTATTTTCCTGTATAATTGAAATCAATTGTAATTTCTCAGAAAAATTCATAATTTTACCTTTATGTGCAATGTGTCAATTTATGAAGCTAGTGATATAATTCTGATTCAAACAAAGTTTTAACATATTTAATACATTTGTATAGTTAAGTTACATATTTAGTGGTTATAATGGCTTGGTTACTTGGTCACACACATACACACAACATTGTAGTCAGATTTTTCATTTATACCCCATTTTATGATTTGGAATGCAGATCCAATATTTTTGATAATGTAATAATCCTATGGCAAATTGCAATTCGTATGCTAAAAACAAATTATTTTTTAGCTGCACTTACATGCCTTATATCTTTGGTTTGCGGTTTAATTCTGGGATGGATGGACTATAGAGCTGAAAAAATTCTTGGAAGGCAAGATGAACAAGCTAATGAGGAACCATTTCATCTTAAGGATGTTTTGCATTTTAAATCTGTATTCTGGCTTGTTTCTGTGATTTGTGTAGCATATTATTTGGCTATATTTCCATTTATTGCCTTGGGAAAGTAAGTAGTAACTGTTTTATATATTTTTTGTATGTAATGCTTTATTACATGTATAAGTAATTATAATACAACAATATTGTTTTAGATTATTTTTTGAGCGCAAATTCGACTTCCTGCCTCAAGATGCCAACACTGCAAACTCGATGGTTTATTTATTATCAGCAGCATTGAGTCCCTTCTTTGGTATTTTAATTGATAAGACTGGAAGAAATGTTATGTGGGTTATTATAAGTATTTTGACCACTATTGGTGCACATTTTATGCTCGCTTTCACCTTTTGTAACCCATATATTGGAGTGGTAAGATGTTCATTAAGAAATTAATGTTTATATAATAATCAGCATGCACATAAATGAGACAACTAGTTAGGAATGTGATTCATGCTATGTAAAAACAAACCTTTGATGTACTGAGTTTCGTCTGTTCTAATCCCTATATTACAATTTATTTTCTACAGTACTATTTGTCTGTTTGTTAACTTTTCACGGCTCAACGAGGATGAGCATATATTGTTTTATATCAAAAACGTACACGTAGGAGTGGGAAAAGTTACCTGCATAAATAAAATTGCAATTTCTGATATAATAATAAGATCTGAGATAATTATGTTGCTATTATATGTACCTATATAATATAATGTTATAACTGTTCAGAGGGATCACAACAATTTTACAATTATCTATTGTGTGTTACAACTAACAGTAGTTGTCCAAACATGCACACAATGTTTTATGTATATTTAAAAAATACTTGAAATAGTAGTATGGTGCCTCCTGCAAAGGCCGGTATATAATACAATAAAATAATTTTCTTAGTATTTGAAAAAAAATTGATTGATCAATGATTGTTGTCAATATTACCTACTTATAATTTAATTACACCATTAATTGTAAATGTATCTTTTAACTTACGTGAAAGTTAAAAGGTACATACAATTGAAATTATAAGTGTGCCATTTTTAGTAATAATTATAAATTTACAGATCTCATTAGGAATTTCATATTCATTATTAGCAAGTGGTTTGTGGCCACTAGTAGCCTTAATCGTAGCGCAAAATCAGTTGGGGACAGCATATGGAATGTAAGTAGTCTTTATTTATATTGTTAAGAGGTAGTATTCTAATTAAATTATTGCAATTTAATAGATATGTACTTACATATTATTTTCAGATGTCAAGCAGTTCAAAACTTGGGCCTGGCTACTGTTATAATATTGGCAGGTGTTATCGTTGACAAATATGGTTATTTGATGTTGGAAATGTTCTTTTTAGGATGCCTATTTGGTAATATTGCACACATTTTGTAATTTGAAAATTGTCCTTATTGATGTTTATTTTTAACCTCTCTTTTCTTTTGTAGTATCATTAATTGCTGCTGTTCTTATATACATTATTGACTCCACTGGCAATGGTATATTAAATATGTCACCAAGTATGAGAGAATCTATGAAAGAGTAAGTTTATAAAATAATTAATAAGTATTAACCATAGCTGGGTACTTAAATTCAGATTTTTATTTCTATATTTTATTATAGGTCTAATGACTCTGACGAAACTGCAAATTTATTGGACAATGAAGTGGAAAGTGAACGAGAAGAAACAGATTCAACAAGACCATCAGAAGCACTGGAATCTTCCACCCCCATTTCGCAACGAGATGTTGCACAATCTCAGTCTGATAGAATACGCAGTAGATATTTAGCACAAATATTGCCAAATTCTAACATTCCTGACAGACAATAGAATAACATTATTATGAATGTATGCATATACAAATTTGTAAATAATTATTCAAGTAATTTTTAAGTATCTAAGAATCAAATTATTTAGTGAAAATAAACTATGTATAACACATGTTTAGTTTTGTTAATATATTATACTTAGAACACTTTTTATATTAACCTCTAAAGAATAGTGCAAGATAGATCATAATATCACTTTGGTTGAGATTGCAGGGGAAACAAAAGAGTAAGATCACACTGACTCCCCCATATTGTTTATCCATATCTGTCTGCATATTTCTCAAGCATCTACAATGTGTTTGTTAATAAATTTATATGAAATAAGACAATAACATTGTTACATATTTTCTAAATGCAGCAACTGCATCAAAATAAAGATATATAAGGATAAACATAAAATACATAATAAAATACGGTTGCAAAACTAAAAATATTATTTAGTTAATTAACATTATTAATTAACAGTTACATATATAAACAATTATTTTCTCAACTTTAACAACAGGTATCATTGATAAAATACATTTTCAGAAAAATTTGCTAATGCTGTGTACATAATTCAGGCAAATTACTATTCGCAACTGAATATACTGTGAAATATTATAATGTAGTAAATATTTATAACTTATTAGATGCTTTTTAGTATGATGAAAAAATAATAAGGATATTATTTTGAAAGATTGTAAAGTGACCTAACTTTCATTTGCCAGTTAGTATATCAGGGAAAATTGTGTAGACATTCAAGTAAATCAACATTAGATATCTGACCAAAAATTCTTAGTTATAAAATTTATACATAGTTTAAAAAACAGTGACCACATATTATTTATTTCTTTCTAATTGTAATTGTTTAGGAAATTTTAACTTGAATTCATTCTTATTGCCTTAAAGTATATATTTCTCTCTTATTTATACTTATCTTCCACTACCCATTCCACCCCATTACCTGGTAAAGGGCTGTGCATAAATGGTGATATCCAGGTTAAATACCACCTGGAACCAAATACCTCTATTAAATTTGCCTTCCATCCTCTATTATATAATAATTGGTTTCTTCCCTTTTTTGTTTCAGGAACTACTTTCCCTTTTAATAAATTATTAAAATGATAAAAGAATAAGAAGCCAGAAAATATTCCTATAATAAAATTAATTACAACTAAAAATACATAAAGGCTTTCCTTACTAAAATCTATTACAAAACTAGCTAAGGGGAATATAAATTTTATAATAACTAATCCATGATTCCATGTAATAAATGTAGCTAAAAATTTAACATTATAATAAAATGCATACACCATTGATATAAAAATATATAGCGTAAATAATATAAAATATCTATGGTTAAAATAACCTACACAAGAAGCAAAAAAAGTACAATGGTGATCTCTTTTTAAAATACAAATATCACATGTATTACAATGCCATGCACGTGGTGGCCGTAAGCATTCACATACACTACATACTGTCCAGTCACACTTGTTGAAGCTATCAAGATATCTTCCTTTAATGGTAGTGTTAGTAAACATTCCGTAAATCATATTACCTACAATATTTACTAATAAAAATGTTGCACACATTAAATGTATAAAATGAGCAAACGTCCATTCTTCCACTACAACAGGTAATACTATACAGAGTTCAAAATAAAAGAAACCTGGTATCAAAATAAATATTATAGCCAAATAAACTATATGTTCTAATATTCTTTTCAAGTTTTTGTTTTTTACTGAATGTATTTTTATTAACATTATAATTACTTTGTAACATAAAATAAAAGTCCAGGATTGGAACAGTTGCCCGAGATGTCCAGTATCTACCTAGGTCCAAATATATTGAATGATACCTAATTAAGTGAAGAAATGTCTCAACTATTTCCTGAAATAAAATTATATAATTTATCATAGAAATAAGTAAAAATAAAGCAGTTTTAATAAATACTTGTCTTTATAACTACTTACTTGAATAATTGGTGAAAGATATACGACTAAAATATTATGAGAAGTATTTTGAAAGGTGTAAGCAATATAATTATTTAAATTATTTAGTGCCATTAAAAGAAATAAAATTTGTTTTTAAATAATGCACTCGATCTTCTGACTCATGCATGTGATAAAGGTGACAAGCACAGATCAGACGTAGACAAAGAGACTAACACGGCTGTATGGACTTAGACTCTTTGCCTTTCCATTACGGATAAATAAAACATAAAAAAAGAGACTAACGTGACCTAGTCAGAATTTTTTGTTTTTTTTTATCTTTTGGCAAAAGACTAGTGTATTTTATTGTGTTTAAGAGTTAGAAAAAATATTCGTTTATAAGTTAGAAAAATATCATTTTTAATATTTAAATAAATATATGATAATCGATTATTTTTCACAGACCAATTTTATCAAATCAGTCAAAAAACAATATCAAATGGTTACATAAAATAAGGGATATTGAGATTTGCCGACTCATTGTCGTACCAATTTATGTCTATCTCATCGGTGATAGAAACATTTACAATAAATCACATCCATCAGCTGAAAAATTCTTCATCTTACAAAGCTACTAGCTAGCGCTGAAATAGATATGATTTTGTTTAGTCTACCTGTGTTTGTACGAATTACTTATTATATCACCTTCATTCTAATTTTAATATAGTATATCGTTAAGGCAGATAGAAGATACATACATTCATACAAATACATAGGTAGATACTTATAACTGGATATTACCCATAACCTCTTATTGTTTTAATCCACCATACTCTTTTTACTATGACCATTTTTTTAAAATAAAATATCTAAAAGCCAATTTAAGTACTCGAACAATAAAAACATTCAATGTTCGCTGATAAACAAAAAATGATATAAACACAATATATTTATAATTTATTAACAATCTCAGTTACACTATTCATAATAAATAAATTGATGATCATTCTTCCAACTTTGTCATGCCTGACATTTCTGTTACATAAAATAAATTCTCCTAGTAATTAATCAATTAGGAGGAAGACAAGTAGTTTATGACATTCAGTAAAATGTCAAGTTACTAATGTACATAAATATAACTTTCAAAAGTACAGGATATAAATAAATATCTTATATAAAGTGATTAACACCTTTAATTTTTGTAGAATGTTTTACTGCTGTCTTTGGCCATGTCTACGAGTGTTTGAGCAGGCTTAAAGGGAGCTCCATAATGACTTTGATATTCTTCCATTTTCTTCACTAGTTTATCAGCACCAAATTGATCCACCCATCTGAATGGGCCCCCAGTAAATGGTGGGAATCCAAGACCAAATACAGCACCAACATCACCTTCTAATGGACTGTGAAGGATTTTTTCTTCCAGTGATAAAACAGCTTCATTCACAAATCTAAAACATATAAAGTCATTTAGAAAAACAACAATATTTTGAAAAACATAATAATATTGTTCTTTATTATTTACCTTGACACCATTCTTAGCTGTTGATCTTCTACTGTGTTGGCGCCGCGGGGTTCCAAGGAATATTTATCTTTCAATAATTGTACAACTTCTTGATTTACATCTCGGTTCTTTGTTCCTTTCTCATACACATAAATACCCTTGCCTGATTTTCGTCCCATAAAACCAGCTTTAACTAAGTCTTGCATAATGTTCAAATTACCGCCTCCGATACGTTCTCCAAAGGCCTGCAAGTTTAATACAAACCTAAATAAGTTATTATTAACAATAAAGTAAACATAACATTTTTTTCTTTATTAATTTATGATACCTTTGTTTCCCCTTTTAAAGAGGTCATAAAATACAATATTACTCCAAATTAAAAACTCATCTCATGTATGAAATATAAGTATAGTATAGACAATTTGCTTTAAAACAAAAACCCTTTCACAGCTAAAATAGATAAATATTAAATTTGATGGTACGGATATTAGAAAATATAAATTGAAATATTCCAAATAATTTGTATTTATTATATAATAATTTGTTTTCAAATAATAATGTAATGTAAGTAATGTCACTGGAAATTAATTTCGAAAGACAGAATTAGCAACACCTATTTAGTAAAACCTACTAAGTGTAGAAAAATAAAGGAGAGGAGTAAGTTAATCTAAACAAATTAGTTGTATTCAAATATTTGGTTTGAATATAATAGTTTTGAACAATCAAATAATGGTTATTCTATTTATTTGGTCATTATTACACTTGTGATTGAAATGGTTGATCAGATTTGGCAATTCTCCTTTGTAGAAAGCAATAATATTTTACCTTAGCAAGATCTACTGCAATATGGGCACCCACATCAATACCAACTTCATCAGCTAGCGTGGCTGCACCCACAGGGAATCCAAATTGTCTGGTCATGTTATCCAATTCTTTAGGATCTACACCTTCTTGTAGTAGTCTGAAGAATAAACACACAAATTATTCTTAATACTTAAATTATGCATCATGCAAATCCCCTGGATCAATATTGTAGACTTACCAATATTGTCGTGAAGAAGTAATGTGTACATAAATGAAATAGCTTTAGTTTGAAAATAGCCCTGTTAACCAAATTCTAGATATGAGTTACTGCAATTAATGTTAATTAACCATATGTCTCTAACCCCCAATGAAGAGGTATTTTTATTGGAAAAGTAATCTTAAAACAAGAAAATTTAATTATATCTTTGTTAATATTATTGTTCTAAGCCACATTGTTGCTGCCTTGACAACTTACCGTATAGCTTCACTCAACATAGTTGAGAGAATGCGCGTGGTGTAAAATCCGGGACCATCCCCAACAGTAATGACTACTTTTCCTTGACGTAATCCTACAGCCACGGCCGCTGCAGCTGTATCGTCGCTTGTTCCCGGGTGACGGATGATTTCCAGCAACTGCATTTTGTCCACAGGGGAGAAGTAATGCATGCCTATAAAAATCATTACTTTACACTAGCTGTATCATGCATTGTTGTCCCCATGAAGTAGAGTCGTTAATAATGTTAGCTATTTATAAGGCGAAACATTCTTTAAAATGGGAACAGTTCTTTTCGAATTTATCCATTACAAACATTCGGTTCATTTATTGTCGATTTAATTTCATATATAAATTTTCTATAATTAAAGATTTACTGAACCCTTGAATCTCTAAATTATAAACAACGGCAACCTGCCAAACCTAGACATGAATGTAGAAAAATGTTAAACCAAAAGTCAGATTGGTATATGCAATGAAATGTGATGCAGAACCGCAAACATCACGTTATGGTATACATTTACTGTGTTCAATACATTGCTCAGGGAATGTTTAATCCCTCGAAATTCCCATGTGATTTTAATATTCCAATATTGTCTAACTTAGGCGAAAATTTAAAATAATAATGTTATTGTTGTCAATAAAATTTAACTTGTCCAATCATTGCCATCAATCACTTTTGAGTTGGGAAATATCAGAAATTGAAAGTAAATATTCAATTAAATTTTGATGTTATACATACTAATCACTTCAATCGTGATTACAATAATGAGGATAACAATTTATTCACAAATTACGTACCAATAACTTTGTCAGGTCTGCTACTTCCAGCAGCAATTTTTGTTATGGGAATGGCGCTTGTATTTGTTGCAATAACACAGTGTTTTGGAACAACAGCCTCTAGTTCTTTGATTACTTTATGTTTAATGTTAATATCTTCAAAGACAGCTTCTATTACACAGTCGACATTGCTAAACTTAGTATATTCCAAAGTTGGTTGTAAATTTGATAAGTATCTATCTTTTTCCAATCTGTGAAATGTATGTAATAAAGAAAGGAAATTAAATTATTTATTACAATAAATGTACTGTTCTTGTTGATGTTAGTCCTGACATTGAGTAAATAATATTGATATATAGTTAAAAATATTGTTTTTGCATGTAGAATAATGCAAAAAGAATATTTTAATTCAACTTATTAATATTTGTTATTACATTAACTAAAAATAAACTAAATTCACTGACTCTGTGTACTCTGTTCATATCCTATAAGACTGATTGCATGATGTATAAGAAAAAAAAAACTTCACTAATTACATTATATGACATATAATGTCATTCATTTTGCGTAAAGACACCACGGTAAAAATACTTAGTAATCAGCTTCATTAATTTGTCCTTGAACCTTTGGAAAGAATGTATGGTCAAGAGCGAGGCGACATAAGCTGATTTATACCTATAGATTATAAGAGAAGAGAAGTTTTTACTTAACACTGCATTTATATACATATTTTTTGGTTTTATTAAATTTCTGACAAACTTTATAATGATCGTATTGGGTGAACTCAATGTAAACATGTATACAGATTAGTGTGTATATATGAATGTGTGTGTGTACTCACGAAGAGATTCTTTTCCTCTTAACTGCATTAGTTAAGCCGGTTTGTATTTGTCCCACCCCTCTGTAGAGACCAGCATTTGTCGCATCTTTCAAGACTACCTTATAATTTTTATCTATAGATACTTGAACAATGCCTGCTCCCATCAACCCTGCACCTAAGACACCAATCTGAAATAATAAATATAATATTACAAAGGTAAAGATTGTGAGTTTGTGAGGTTGCATGGGGGTAATCTCTGGGTCTAATTAATAAATAATTGTTAGTCCATTATAAGTCTAATGACCCGATTTGCTAGTAATGTACTATGTCAGGTTGACGTCCACTTGGTTTCCCCTAGAAACTATTGTCATAAATTCAATTCCTGGTAATTTTTCCACAATGGGCTATTTGACATGCTAAGCCCATAGCATAAACATTCAGCGCAGACAGATGCACAATTCCATTACCATTTATTTTAAAAGAGACCTGTTATAAATTGGTCTTACCGTTTTAACATCCACCTGGGATTTGCCAAATCTATTTTTCTTACACTCAGTCTGTCCTCTGAAAAGACCGAAGAGACCTTTGCTTTGTGGTGTCATTGCTAATTCTCCAAAACCTTGTGCTTCTGCTTCATAACCTGCTGCTGGGCCCTTGTCAACTCCAACTCGTACTACTTCAAGAATCTGTAAAATATGAATTTAAACAAAAGTGTAAATTTATGTCTTTGTAAACTTTTTAGTTTATTAGTTTTGAATGATTAAAATTACTTTATTGCAAGCATCTTTAAATAATTTGTTATTTTGATTTTAATGGCACTAATATTTTTATACGTTTCATATAAAAGTGCAAAAAATTTAAAGTGTAAGTGTCTTCTACAATCAATGTGTACAAAAAATAAATATCACATATTGTTTATAATATATGAACATAATGCTAAATCTATATAGTTCATTCAGAAATTCAAACAGCCAAGTCTGCAATGCATTTTATGATATGTAACAAATTGTTTAATAATTTTACCTTAAGAGGCGCTGGATAGAGGCCTCGGGAAGCCTTGAGAACTTGTTCCTTTGCCTTGTTAAATATAAGATTCTTAACGAATTCAAATTTCATAACATTTGCAGTTATCTTTTCAACCAGACCTTTTTTCGACCTATCTACTTTAATTTTTCCAGCAGCAATATCTCTGGCAATTTGTATTGCTACAGTTTCTAAGTATTTTATGGTATTCTCCTCAGGTAGACTTTTGCCTAAAAGAAATTAATACGATTGTGAAATGATCTACTTGCCAAGGTTTTCTCGGAAGACTACAGCATGCATAATTAAAAAACAATAAATAAAATTCATGTATACACATAAACACACACACACACACACATTATCGTGTACACACAAATATGTTTTTATATATAAAATAAGAAATAATACAAACCAGGTCCAAGAGGAGATACTAGCAAATCAACTATTCCTAACTTCTTAGCTTTATCAGCTTTCACAGTTTTGCCCGTGAGTGCTAGGTCCAAAGTCGTGGGTACCGAAGTAAGAGCCGGTAATCTAAAATTTACATTAAATATATGCTATTTAGTAGTAATAATAGCTAATAGGTAAATTCCTTTAAAAATATTGATCTTAGATATTTCTATAATAAATACCTACATAGATGATAGTGGGGTGCTGTCTGATAAAGTACTGAAGTGTTGTATGGTGTCTAACCAGTAGAGGAGATATACAAGCCAATAGCATTCAATTCACACTGCCTATCTAGTAAAGGATGTGTGGCTGACCTTTGGCACACACATCCCACATACCAAGCAGTTTGTGCTATACAAGCTGTTTATATTGGAGGGAGCGAAATGTCAGTTAAATTACAGGATAAAAATTATAATTATACAGAATTATAGTCAATACATATTAGTTTTCCGTAATTTTGAAGAAACTTCCGCTTAAGTTTCTTCAAAGTTACAGAAAACTAAGATGTTTTAAGGTGTACCACCACAGACGTCATATGGAGATGTTATATTAGACAGTTGCTACTTAACATCAAAGGGCCCATCAGCTTGCTTGCCATTTTAATTATATAAAAAACAAATAATCAACAATGAAAATTCACCTCTGTGTGCCTCCACCACCAGGCAAAAGTCCTAACATTACTTCAGGTAAACCAAATCCAGTCTTTTTGTCTTTAACAGCTATGCGATAATGGCAAGCCAGTGCAGTTTCTAAACCACCACCAAGGCAACTGCCTTGAATGGCTGCTACAAATGGTTTTCTAGATGTTTCCAATCTTCGAAATATTTCATGACCTTAAAAATATATATCATTTTAATTTAAATAATTGCATATTACATTTAAACAAATAAATATTATAGCTTATATTCAAATATAATTTGTATTATCCACTCCTGTAAGAAAAAATAAATATACAATAATAATGTCTAATCCTAATGTTCACACATATGAGAGACTTTAAATACAGGACTTTCATAGAAGCTGAAAAGCTGTTTGCCCTAATATGAACAAAATATAATAAATAATATTATAAATAGTCACAGTAAGTGTGTTTAAAGTTATCTATCTATATATAACATTAGTGTTTAATTTTTTGAGCAGTGCTGTTGGATTAAATATTTAATTTACACAGGTTGCCCTTCCGAACCTAAAACTGGATTTATATCAAATTCTAAATATTTTTTTCAAGTAATTAAAAGTAATTCAATCGATTAAACCATGTTCTTGGTTTTCTGTATCCTTTAAAAACCTGTATTTTATTTTTAATATTGATATCAAGTTGTTGCCCACATGTGTCTTGTGTAGAATATCAATGCCTTGGCAGTAATCACTAACGGTCATGGTATGTGCTGGTTGTAGGGCATCATAGCTATTAAGTGTGTAGGTACTATGATTTATTTGTATTTAGTTGTTATTGATTTGTTTTTTATAATGTTTAATTGTCAATAACTCATTTCTTTCAATTTCATACATTTTACCTCTAACCTTGTATACTTAATTTAAATTTTTATTGTTTTTTAGTTAGTATTTTTTAGTTAGTATTATTTATTTAGTGTTGTATGTTACTATATATTTTTATATACCTCGTTTTGATAGTGCCACAACTTCATCTTTAGTTTTACATTTTTCAAGCATTGAAATGTCAGCACCAGCAATGAAACAACCAGGTTTTCCTGATATTAATACAGCGGCTTGAATGGCTGGATTAGATTCAACTTCACCAATTACCTTATTTACTTCTTCAATTACAGCTGCATTTAGAGAGTTTACCTACAAGTTTGAAAAATAATTGTTAGTTATAATGCTAACAATTATCTGCTTTTCAAAGAAATACAGATTGGTTATGCTGTATTGATTAGAAAGTGAACATGTGGAGCTACCACTACTGGAAGCAAATTTTGAATTTTTATTGCCTCGATACTGCAATCCAAACATTCTTCATGGTGACACTGAGTACACATATATCATCACTTCAGTACAAGGTAAAGTTCATCGAATATGTTTACATGGGCACCTCTGTCTTACCTAATTCAGACACTGTTGAGTGGTATTTTACAAAGCAAACTATTTAGCTTGCTTTATATACTGTTTTAGATGAAGGGTCAGATACAACAGTGAGTATGCAGGGTATGGAGCCATAAAACTTCAGTCCTTTGGGTGGCAATGCTGGAGATCTTGGTACCCCTATTATGATTACATGACAATACAATGTTTGTGACGATGTTCATATATGTAGTTAATGATAACATTTACAATCGCATGTCAGGTCAGCAGCATGTTTCCAATTCCAGTTAATACAACAAAAGTTATGTAATTTCAAGTTGCTGTTAGCAAAATATGGATTGCTGTTAAGATATAAAACTATTTAGACAATTTTTTAAATTATTGTTTATTTACCATAAACCATTATCAGTTTCTACTGTATTTGTTAATTGAATTGACTGTGTTGAACGTCATAACATTTACATCACCTACCCTATTTTTGCTATTCTTTTACATTCCACAACACCTAACCCTACAATACACACTTAAGAGTATAAAATTTTTAATTTATTTTTACTTGTTTTTTTTATTGGATTAAAAATTAAATTTAAGTTTTTAATGGAAATGAGGGACTAATTTCCAGTATCTTAGCTAGCTTTCATGATTTTCTAGTACAAAAAGTTACCTTACCTTGGCATTTGGACTGTCCAATGTAATAACATAAACGCCATCAACTATCTTACATTTAGTGTGACCATCGCTGGCTGCTGCTGCTGCATATCCTCTGTTATGTACACCTACAGAATAGAAATAAGAATTAGAGAAATTTGTAATGGATTCTCTTACAACTTTCAAAGTCACGTAAAACACCTTACCTGTTATAAGTGATAAGTCCTTACGGTTTCTTAAGAAATTAAGTGCACGTAATATTTTAGAACTAGCCATGTTTGTATATTACTTTATGAAAAAGGCACTTAAAACGATTTAATTAAATAATAGAAGACAGACTTTGAACCTAAACTTTCGTCGTGAATTGAGATGTCGAAGGGGGTGAAAGAAGGCATTCGGGCAGAGACGGGGAGTGAGTGAAATTGAATGAAATAAGTGCGGAGTTTATTCATGAGTACGATTGAACGAATGATTAAAAATAAATATTCGATTATTCAACTCGACACATTTTCGATTATTCAACTTTACATATTCATAAATGTTAGATACAATTGACAGACTTTTAATATTCGTTTTAATAAAATATACAAATGATTTCAATTATTTTAGTACAATTACCCTGTAAATAATCTACTTAGGCTGTTATCGTAATATAACTCTGCAACTACGAGTATTTTTTTTATTTAACATTTTACGGCTCTGGATACAAGTCATTTTGAGCCCAACATAAAATGCTTCAATAGTATTGCCACCAGGTTTATATAAAATGGCTGAACGATTCGCCTTTTTCAAATTTTGCCTTGCGTTTTTCACAAAATTTTTACAGTTTCTCAAGTCGCTATTGTTGTAATTACTAAATATAGAAGTTATTTCCTTATCAATATGAAAGTTACAAGTCTATTTGTTAGTCTCTTCGCCTTAACTATTGAACCTCTTAAGTCAGATTTATGAGATATTATTAGCTATTTATTTATTATATCTATGTAATAGATATATAGAACGATATTTTCATTGATATGTTTATGTATTTATAGCATTTTGTCGATCTAACATTATTGACATTGTATATAATACTACCAGTCAGAAAAAGCCGTCAATCTGTAGCATATGAAATTGTCAGAAAGTTGAATTAAGTGTCATATTATATCCGATTCTAATGGCGATACCATACAGGCGATTTTTTATACTAGCGTAAGTGTAAGTAGCAATCGTCACTTATATACAGATGATTTTGTATAAAGGAACTTACCTTATTTTACTTATTTCTTTGATCTGTGTTTTGACATCTTATGGCTGACAACCGTTGTGCGCTTATTATCTAACATATACCTAAAAGGTGTCATTATCCAATAACAGACGAGAGCACATTATCTTTGCACGTACCTATTCTCTACTATCTGCTAACGTAATAAGTTCTAAGGTAACTTATATAAATTCGTCTTGTGTAAATGTGACGATTCTTTTACTTAGCGTATGTTGACAAATACGTTTACACATAAAAAATCGACAGTACGACAGTTAGACGATCTTTCTTTGACAGTATCTAGGACTAGATTAACAGTGGTATACTTACAAGTAAATATCAGAGAATAAGTGATAAATCGAATTATATGAATTAATTTATTTAAATTTAATTAAATTAATTTATGAATTATTATTATTATGGTGAATTTACCACCATGGGCACCGGCCATGCTTACTATCATCCTCCAATGGTGCCCCACCAGCGTAAATCGTTAGCGCAGGCGGAAGCACCATTCCATTATCATTCATAAGAAAAAAACAAACAATCATACACGTACACTTATATAAATGTTTTAATAGGCCAAAAGGATATTGCCACAAAGGAAGCGGCAGATATCATTATAAATAATTAAAAATATATATCATTGTGCGAACAATCGAACCCGCGACCATACGAAGTAGGAAGGCTGTGTGCTACACCAAAGCCGTCCAAATTTATTGCATTGAAAATTGATCAAGTCAGGATATAACAAAATTATTAATTTGAGTTTCACTCCTAATACTAGCGAGCGTACACCAATAGCGCAACCGCTGTATTGAAAGGAGATCCAATATACAACCATATAAAGAGAAAAAAAAGTCCTATAGAAATATCATAAATCTGGCATGTCAAAAATAGTAAAAGTAGAAGTAGATGAACTTACGGGTGACTGCTTGTTTCCTGTAAAATTGTAAACCATACGTAGGTATACCTTTAAGTTAATCTACATCGATATAAATGATAGTGAAAAAGGTAGGTAACCTACGTAGTAAATATATATATACTACGTAATGTTAGTATCTACTACTAATATATATTATACTAGCAGACCCGGCAAACGTTGTTTTGACATATAAATTAATATTGCTATTAAAAACAGGGTTTGATCGTAAAAAGCTAGTATTTTTCAATGCTCAATCATAATAAAATAAATAATATTGTCAAAAAAATATTTAGGGTTGATGGATCATTGAAGGGTATGAAAAATACACTTTGGCCGATTCTTAGACCTACCCGATATACACACAAAATTTCAAGGAAATCAGTAAAGCAGTTTCTGAGGAGTTTGGTAATGGTAACATACACCGCGAAACGAAAATTTTATATTTTTTATATATATAGTATTTACATGAATATACAAATAGGTTTTAAACATCTCTAGAGAAACTTGAGTAGTTAACTGTGAAACTAATTATATGCCGTTTTATAGTGTACATTAATATGTACAGAAGATGTACTTAAATAGGTCGTAGCAAACAACCATTAATAAAATATATTGCAGATTAAACGAAGTTCACCGGTTCATCTAGTTATTAATACTTTTTCAATTCTTGTTCTGTAAAACACTTGTTGCAATATAGATCCCTCCTACATCGTATCCATGACGACGCCCGGCGCCTCCACTTCACCCCATTCACCAGCCTCCATTCCCACCCTCTTAGGCAGCTTTTGTGAAGTCAAAAGCAGAGAGTGAGCGTGCGTTACTGGGGTAATTACACATCTGAAGCTTTCATAGAGTACTGTACAGTTAGACTGAAAATTATATATTATTAAGTATTTTAGCGGGTAATGCTCCATTTAGTTTACTTGCATAGATTTAGAAATATAATACAAGAAATAAAATTATATAATACAAAGAAACCTCACCGAAAGTATATACTAACGAATAGAGTTTTTGTGTTTGGTACAAGTGGACTATCTGATAATTTTAGTTTACGCAATTATATGTACAATTACCTACTAGCTATCTGAATACTATATGAACATAAACCAAATGAATGAATGAAATGAATCTGTTAATATTTCTTAATTTGAAGTAAACAAAGTTATCTATTACCTATATTATACGTTATATACATAGTAGTGCATAGTGCAGTTTTTGTCTGATATATAATGATACTAAACTACTTTACTACAGTAGTACAATACTTTCGAAGCTAAATGTGAGCAATGGACCATAAATGGGTTATGGTAATGTTGATGACGATGGTAATGGCAATGGGAAGTACGAATCTTGACTACATTGTAATTGTTCTAGGTAAGTTTGCAGTAATGAATCTTTTTCTAGATGTGATTCATGAATACGTATACAAATATATAACTACATTTAGTTTAAGAGTTATATATGAATTCAGATTGATTTTTAATCCACTTTAAAAACAAAGGAAGTCAAGATTCTGTTCATTATAAATAGATTTGAATATAAAATTTGTTATTTTGTTTGAAAGTTTCAGTGATTTTTACGATCACTACTGAAATGTAAGCAGTTTTTATTTAGCATTTAAGCTTTATCATTAAACGATGAACGATGATGTTGTAGAAATCGTAATAAATAATAAGTATAACTACGCTTTTGATGGTTGAAGTCGTCGTTGTTTAGGGCTTCTCACGAATGCATTATTAATCTTTGAATTTCTTGGCTTGTTCAATACGTTTGAACATATAAACCTTCCTATTGAATCACTTTATCTATTGCTGAAGACTGCATTAAAATCCGTTGCGTAATTTAATAGATATAAGCGAACAGACAGCGTTGGCGAATTTATTTTATACTATGTAAAGATGTGTAATATCCAACAAACGTGCAAATCTTTGACTTTTATATACTGATAACTACAGCACTTTTGTACATAGTCGGATTTTATCGAGGCGGTGGCATTAGAGGAAATTGATTCAATTCCGGAGAGGACGCCGGGTGCTCGGGCGAATCTCCTCATCCTTCTGCCACCATTCTGTCGACCTTACCATTTATCACAAAGTCATAACTCGGAACGTACATTTGATTTACGAGTAATATTGTCTACCTAATATATATATTATTTTATTACATTTGGTACTATATTATGTCTTATTATTCATACTTAATATATTAATAAAGTATAGTAGTCTGCTTATATGTCTATTTGTTTCAAAAAGGCGTTTCGCAACAAAAAGGCGAAACTGATATTAATGAAATTTCAGGTTCATATAGGTAGATTATTTTATTCATAAACAATAATGAGGATGGACTTGAGCCCGATCGAAATCGATTGAAAGATTGGCATGATGGGCATCCCAATCAAAAGTTTATCAATCAATTTTTACGACAAATTTCATTAGGATTCGTTCAGACGTTTAGGTCTGAAAAGGTAACAAATAGACAGACAGATATACTTTTGCATTTTTAATATTACTGTGGAATAGTACATAGTATAATATAATATTATAGTCAGGTAGAGATCCTATGCTCTACGTGTTGTATACATAACCTATGTGAAAACGTAATAGTTTTATAGGTACCTTTTTGTTATAAAATACCTTTTGGAAGTAAAAAGAAACTTCAAAGAAAGCTCAGATTTAAAGTTTTATAGTATACATATAGTTTAATGTACACTATAGTATGTATTTATCATTTAAATTCAAATGCCGTTACATTTTAGTTCGAACTTTATCCGTTTCAGGACTACCATTTATCATCTTTTGATGTGATTTCTATTCGATTGTGTTCAATAGTTAGACTGCTGGTAACTTATTCCTTTGTATCTATTTTTATACCTATATCTATAAGAATAAGGCAACCAAGATAAAAGAGTTTTCTGAATTGAAAGTGCGTTGATTATAACAATATAAGTAATTGTAATACCTATGTGAGTAATATAAGTACTAGTTAGTGCAGTTACTTATTTTATACTAGCTGTTCCCGCGACTTCGTCCGCGTGTAATTAATTTAATTTTTCTAAAATAAAAGTAGCCTAAAGAACTAAAAATTATTTTGTTCGTCTTAATTTATTCGTTCCATTAGGTACTGATAGGTTCAAACTAATACATTTACATACTGCATCATCCCTTATTTTATCCCTATGGGGAATGATTTTATCAAAATCCTATTTAAGCGAACGTCTTCATCATAGTAGCTCCAATCTTTAATTTCAGTTCAATCTGTCGAAAATCTAAGAAGATTTATACAAACCTTTTCCCCTATTTTATCCCCTTAGGGGTGGAATTTATCTTTTTATCTTTCTTAGGGGATGCCTACGTCATAGTAGTTTTATACATGCAAAGTGTCAGCCCGATCGGTTTAAAATTGACAAGGTTTCATACAAACTTTCATGCCCTATTTTATTCCCTTGGGGGTAGAATTAATCAAAATCCTTTCTTAGTAGATGCCTACGTCATAACATCTACCTGCATGCCAAATTTTAGCCCGATCCGACCAGTGGTTTGGGCTGTGCGTTGATTGACCTTTGAGTTATATGTTTAGATTAGTACGATTTTTTTATTTGATTTCTACGTGCAGATTTTAGTACAAGCACAGAACAGACTTCACTGTACTATGAGAAGAAATATTATCTATACTTATAAAATCGTTTGACCTCACAACGAAAACTAGAAATTGTATATACAAGGCTTAAATTTGAAAGATATGTTTGTTTTATAGTTGCTGACTCTACAATATCTATGCCTATATAATACATATAGGCATATATAATGTATCCGCTAAGAAAGATTTACTTCATCATCACCACTCGATATGGAAAATAAATAGTACCGCACAATTAAATCCATTGAAATAGCATAATTTTTTACAAACATTTATTACTAATTTTCATTCTATAAATATCAAATATCCATTAACATCTATTTAGCTGTTTAACAATTATATTGTTAGATTATACATATTTTTTTATGTTTTTATAAGGATTATAAAAAAGCGTTAAAGCTGCGTTATAACTGAATAGGTTTTTAGGTTTTATTGATTTATATTCTTATCATTAGAACAATATCATCGTATTATCATCTAAATAATAATCCCAGAGTTCAGTAATTTGCAATATTTAAATAAAATAAAACTGTATACATATTATGGTTATATTTATTATACGTTAAAAAAAAAATAGGCTGAAATTATTTCAGAGATAAGTGCTCGCTTTTCACAGGACGCGATTCACCACTGCCCTCCACCACGGAGGGCGGTAGGGCGCGGGTGTAGTGAACGGGCGGTTTTGATAAAGTCTAGTACCAGCTTCCATAGCCCCAATTACAAAGAGCGAGGTGGCAATCGTGACAAGTGCTAAGTACCATAACATACGATAAATGGACTCTAAATATAAGCATACTCTATATATTAAAAACACAATTTTAGCCGTTTCAGAGATTACTAAGAACAAGACGACAGACAGCAAAAGTTTTTTAATTTTTGTTTGTCTATTTAAGGTATTGTATATACATCCATAAGCATTTAGTGAAAGCTTTTAATTTGAAATTACAAACAGACATTCAATTTTATTAATTTGTATTATTATTAGGTCCAATCGGAGTTTACTTGGAATTGCAGTTCCAGAAATATAATAATTAAATGTACCCTACATTTAATTATTATATTTCTGGAACTGGCGGCAATGAATGTTGTCAAACATTTTACATAAAACAGCATATATATACTAGATGAAAACCCGGCTTTGCTTGGGTGAAATGTGGGTAGATATTATAATACGGCACACACTAAGTAATTTTTAACGGAATCATTTTCCTTGTAAGCGCCATTCGCATCAGCCCAATCTGTACCCAATTACCTATAGGCTAATTCTTGCTAAAATCACGTATAATGCACAAGTACACATATATAATTTGCATACGAAAGCTTACTAAGTATAAAAAGAAATGGTTAGCTATAAATAATAATGATGTGCCTCTATTTAATTCTATATCCAGTGTAATATAATTCCTTAAACCGGATTATGCACTCCCATTCTCAAGTACGGGATAAGTAGATACAGATTTATAAAGCGCCTCTCGGATTTGAACCTTCGGTTCAGTTTCCAGCTGGACGGCTCATGCGTCGCGTTTAATCTTCTAATGGAGTCGGCTACCTAGTGAACTGTTCCTACGTATATAAAGCTTACAATAGCGCTGCGGGCGTAGTCCAGTCCGATTTGTACACTGTATAGGACGTAACGTGATATCGTGGCCTCTTGTCGCGAATATACGATATTATTATCACTTTAATTTTTAAAGTGACCTATTCAAGTGACCGTGCGATTTTAGGTCTTTGTGTTAGTTTTTGAGGCGACGTGAAATTGGTGAGTAGCAAATTATAAAGTTTTTACTGATATTTCGTAAGTAAATACCGCGAATTGAATAAATTCCGATTTTGTTCTACTTTGCAAATTAATTGGCATTATTAGATAGGTATCGAATGTTTTGTGCAAGTTCACTTGTTTCAGTAAATATCTCTATAATTATAGTGGATATTTATTTATTTATCCACCGAATAGAGGACAAGAAAACTGAGCAATTAATAGTTTTATCGAATATACAAAATACTTAAAGTAATCACAAACAAGTATGAAATATTAATTATTTAAACTTATGAGATTAAATAAAAAAGTATGTACATCGTAGGTACTTGGTTTGCTAAAAAACAACCTAAGAACATTATAGTTAGGTAAACAGCCTTTAATTCAAAAGGTTAAACACATAAATTATGTACACAATGATTCAGTGTACCTACCTATATCGTTTTTCTTAAAAGTGACTATACATTCTACCTTGGACAGTACAGTACCGAATACAGTCTGTTTGTCCTTTTCAGCAAAAATATTGAGCTTTTGAAATTGTAAATTAATAAACCAAACGATAATTGTCAAAAAATGTTGTAATATTCGACAATAGTTTTGTGTTACATTTTTTTTATAAAAAACAGATATATTAAGTTGAGAGAACACATGACTCTATCGAGTTTAAAGAAAAATTATCTCTTTTTTGCATATTACCTTCATCTTGTTTGAGTCACGGCGCTGACTTACTACCTTATTGCACTCATTGTATAATAATAAAATAAAGTTTAATTTAAGTAAAATTTCTAAGAATCAATGAAGTATTTCTTTCCATTAGTTTTTCTCAATTCATGCTGAAAATACGTACGCTATAAGTTGCATACTTAGTAGATACGCTGTTGCTCGCAAGAGTTCAGTTAAAAAGAGGATTTAGACTACTTGAAGATTGTATCTATCGCCGCTGGTCAGATAACCTGTGATAGATTTATTTTGATTTCAAGTTTTCCTTTCCTTGCATCAGTTTATTACTTACGCCTTATTGTAATTTAGAATTTGTATGTGGCAGTTTATAAGAAAATAGGCTACAGAAGTGGGCCTCTACAGGCTCTACCTGCTAACCTTCATATTGTGGGGGGAAGGGGATTGTTAGTAATGGGAACTAGTAACTCCCATTGCTACCAATGTACCATGTTAGGTCGACCTCCACAGGATTCCTCCTGAAAACCATTGTGATAAATTCCTAGTGAATTTGCCACGATGGGCTAACTCACCTGACCTCATATTCATCTTATCATCCTCCACTGTAGCTTCCGCCAGCGTAAACCGTTAGCGCAGATGGGAGCAACATTTCATTATCATCCACAAAAAAACCTTTATATTGTAAAAGAAAGCATTCTTTGCTAGTTGGACTGGTTCTCCAACACATTAGTTTTTATTTTATCTAATTAATAAAATTGTTATTTAATGTCACGATTTTATAATAATGTTAATCGTAGAAGTTAACTGGTACATTAAAAAGTCTTCATAAAAATGGAGGGCGACTAAACTTATAGTAAACGTCACAGTAAAATAGTCTAATCTAAGAATATTATTGATATAATACAAGCTGTCGGTCCATCTGAAAGAAAGTGGTAACCAATGACTTATATATGTAAATGAACACCTCAAAATGGTGATGCCCAAAATATTACTTCCTTATGCTTTACTATTCCTGAGGACTAATATACTGTTACCGCTGTAACCGTGGGCGATATGCAGTTTTTCCTCTCATTTATAAGAATTGAAATAATATTTTATTTCATACAATGTTAATTGGTATACATTACAGTGCATTTTATAATAAATATATTATGATACATATCTAATCGGTTATATGAAAATGTATATGTTTCGGTTTATCTGTAGATTCATTGATTGAAATACTCACTAGCCACTAATCAATGTCATAGAGTTTAAATACGGCTCTAAAATCAGTGGTGACATCTAAGTAGTAGTATCACCACGTGAACGATATTACACGCTATCTATCAAGATATCGTTTACCTAAATGTTTTTGTTGTTATTTTATTTATGACTAGCTGTACCTGCGACTTCGTCCGCGTGGGATTTTTGCTTTACTTTATTTTTCTAAAATAAAAGTAGCCTACGTTACTCCGTATTACTTCAGCTACCTACCAATAAAAGTCTCATCAAAATCGGTCCAACCATTTCAGAGACTAACCGGAACAAACAGACAGACAGAGAGACAAAAATTGTAAAAAACGTTATTTTAGTGTATGTACCGTATTTATATTCATAGGCATGTAGTAAAAAACGGTTATTTCAATATTACAAACAGACACTCCAATTTTATTTATATGTATATTTATACGTATAAATAAAATTGGAGTAAGAAACTAATGTTCTACAACGATAAGGTTATAATATAATTTAACTATTCAAATAATTAATTTTTAAACAATTTGCACCTTTTAATAACATTTTAACAATATTTAACATTGATGTCATTAGCACTAAAACGAAATAAAGTAAACTCGAATTGAAAAGCCTCTCTCGATATAACTTCTGTAATTTAGTATTCAAATACCCATCATAAAAATTACTTTATAAAATCTTAACAAACTTGAACCCGAATTGCTTGCATAAATATTACGGACCCATGAGAAAAGACTTTATATTTTTAATATGAGAAGTTTTAGACTAGATGGCTAGCTTAAAAAATAAGCCTATTACGGCGAATAAAGGTAAGAAAAAAAACTTCATATTTAAGCTCTAAGACAAACAGGTTTCTCATACTTATTACTATTTATACGAATAGCGGTTACCTGCATTGACGACAACACGGGGATTGCCCGTCAGTATTTTCCTTCTACTTGCAAAAAGTAAAGTCCGCTCACTCGACTTCCTGCACCAATTATGTAAATTTTCTAAGTATTTTAGTTTCCAATTACAATACATGTATGTATACATTTTACGCTGTAGGAAAATAATTAAAATTCATAATGAGTTATCCAGTTATCCTTACTAATATTATAAATGCAAAAGTAACTCTGTTTGTCTGTCTGTCTCGTTTTTGCGCCAAAACTACTGAACCGATTTAAATGAATTTTGGTACACAGATAGTGTAGACCTTGAGAATGGACATATGCTACTTGAAAAAGGGTTGAAGGGGTTGAAAGGGGATATGAAATTTGTATGGAAGTATTGTTAATTTTAAAGCTAGTAGCTTGAAAGTTATATTTAGGCTGTTGATTAATTGAATATATATTACTTATCATTTGGTCAACGTCACTATAACACGCGGACGAAGTCGTGAGCACAGTTAGTTAGTTATATTTTTCTTTAAAAGATCATAAATAGACGTTATATGTCTTATACATAAACTTTACATTTATTTAGATTTAATAAACAACACCTCAGAAAATTAATGTATGTAACCGGAAATGACCCCTTGATTATTTTAGTATAAAATAAGTACTTTTATATTTATAAATAATATTGGCGTATATAATGATAATAAATATATTAGGTACTTACTGCTATTTCAATAATAATAATAACTCTGGACAATTCTCACAGCGTCATCTCAAGCTAAGCAGAGCTCCCATATAAGCTCTGCTTAGTTTGGCTAGACACCTAATATAAATATTTTCTTTGTAATCATATACAATATACATAAAAAACACCTAGACAAATACAAAAAATCAGCTTTTATTAGCTGTATTGTTATAACATGTTATGCGCAAGCTCTATCACTTTTGTTTTCATACAGACACTTCTTTAATGGACTACCTATACGGTATTTCCTTATTATCGCGTGTTGAGTATGCACGTACTCACTAATTTCTATAATTTAATCAATTATATAAGTAATCAATAACTGTGAACCGGTCGAATGTCACGTAACGGATTAAAACATATATTATTTATAGTGATAGCCAATTTATGTTTCGATAATCTCGTTTGTATGACTTGAAAATTAGTCTCCGTTAATAATACAGATATAATATCTAATGTATATTAAAAATATTTTCTGTATATATATAATGAAACATCGAATAGTGTATAGTATGCATTCATCGAACACTACCTATTATAAAATTTACTATGACGATCATAGTAAATTTGATCATTGACTAGATATGGCTGTACATATATAGATATATTTACCTATATATGATTACCTATCAGAGATAAATTAGTGCCTACAATAATCACAATATAATTAAAAACACAATATAAATGAACCAAAATTCAAATTGTTTTCATGGAAAATAGCTTTTCTCGATCTGTAATTTTATCAACATGTTATCTCAAATATCATGGAGAACGATGGACACATTTTCATTAACGGATATAAAATGGAAGTGTATGTCTTAATATGCTTAATAAGTACCTACATAGTAGGTATCCACTTACATTTGTTAATAGGTTCATAAAGTATCCTGAATATAAACTATATAAATTGTTAGTTATTACATTTAACATTTTTAATACATATAGAAATATGATCATTGTTATTGCTTAGGAATGTATTTTGTACGCTTTTAGTATAAGGGTACTTTGAGTAGCAACTATAGTTAGGAAGTGTTTTCAGCCAATGAGTTCCATAACGGTGGTGATTTTAAAACAAACGAGTAAGAAAAATAGCTACAAATTGTCAATACTTAATTGTTAATAAATGGCAGATTATATAATACCTGTGAATGGGGGCGATATAGCGCATGATCGCGTGAAGTCTGTTTACCTTGACCATAAGAAGAATAATTCTTAGTCTTATGCCTTGGCCCTAGATTAAAATTATTATCTGACAGAAAGTGATACAACCATATGAACAAAATAGAAATATAGGTGGGGGTTTGTTTACATACCTTGCAAAATATACAATAATAAACGATTAATTACAATTAAATAATTATTTCTAATTTAAATGATATATTAAGTATATCTTAATACATATATATCAATGCATGACTACGCGAGTTTTAAAACGTGCGAAGTTAAAATAATTATCGAGATTTCTGAAAATTTCAAATTTACGCTCTGTTTTCCTCCATAAAGTGTTGGACAATCATAAAAATAAATCAAATTGTTGCGTGACCAAAAAAAATATAGATTCTTTTTTATATAGGTAGATAGCACGGTTATTGGTCAGATTGTTTTATTCTTCTAGGCAATTGTAGAGGAGTGAGGAACACTCTAGATATAAAGTATTAATTAACAATTCCATGAATCTCACTACCTACTACTATGTTTATTTTAAAAAACATTTATCGCACATCGAGATAATATTAAAATATTGCAAGTTATATTTTAATATTATGTCGATATACCTATTTATGAAAATCTTGCGTCACTATCTTTGTCCAGAGTAAACTTTGAAAGAACTTAACCATTCTTTATAAAACTTGTGGCCCGTGAAACAGGAACAGATCAAGGTTAACGATTTCCTCCAGGTCCCAAACTTCTGACATTTCTAAGGTGGTTAAGAAAGTAGTGTTATGAAACTTAATGAAAGTCAGCTGTGGTTCTAAGGGTGGGTTGAGAAGTACGACCCTCGAAAACTTATAAAAAAGTCAGTAATTTTCTTCAAATTGCTATCATCTCGTCACATTACAGTCAGCTTACAATTTTATTTTTATTCATCTTAAAAGTTTTAGACCTGGAGCAAATAATACACGAAAAAACAGGCTATTAGCTCACTGTGTGTAATTTTGTCCAACTTAATAAATAGTTTTTAAATGAACCTTAATAGTTTTAATTTCGTAAAGTTATGGGAGGAATTATAAGGATTGGGCAATAAGTAAATATTTTTATACCATCATAAATATACAGATTGACTGTAGGCATAGTCTTCTTCCTCTGGCAGTTCCGTAAAAACATTTTAAACCGGATCTGTAACGGAAAAATAAATGTAATCAATTTCATACAAATTGTACCTACTTTAAAATACTGTTGATTGTACCCGGCGTGTCGTAGCTACGAGGTCCACAAATAACCTCGCACCACTTGCTCACAGCGAGTTGCGAAAGCGCGGCCGCTGGTAGACACGCCGTTCTCTCGGCATTGAACGTGAACTGCAAATTGGAGAGCCCATTCAATAGCGTACCTTTGTTATGATTTTAGTAAATTGCCAAATCTGTGGCCCCTAAAATATATACCTTTATACATCAATTGATTTTCGTAAGGCGTCATAACAACATCGCATTCACCTTCAACCTTACACAAAATCTTGGTTTTAAAATTAAACAAATATTTTTTAATTTTATGAGTAAATTATACATAAGGAAAATTTTCTGTAGCAAAATCTGCAGCTTATTTTATTGATCCGATTTTAAATATGACACGAATTTTATTTTATCTACGACTAGGTGCGAAATCCAAAAACATGGATGAAAATTCTATTCTCTCTTAACTAATTATTGAAATAATATAATATTGAAATGAGTTGTTGCTTAGTTTGATAGTATTTGCGGTTTAGTTATAATGCAACTGTGAAGCCAAAGCCAAGTAAATTGACTAACAATAGGTTTGACAATTCCATTTAACGAAACTGCAAATACCACACGAATAATGTCCAATAAGGCATTGTTACATTTTAGTTCACATCAACGTGCTCAAATTCCAGGGGTATAAAATAACTATGAGACTATAGATATATACACTTTGAATATAGGTACCTAGATAACATCAGTATCTACCTAAATAAAGATCAGCTAACATTTAGTTACTTAAGTTAATAAACAATTGGATACATATTTTATTGTTTACAATATCTCTGTATATAATCTTGTTTATTCATAGGTATCATAAGAATATAACAAATACATAAAACAATAATTTTAAAACTTTCTTCACAGTCTCTTACATTTATATCTATATATTGTATAAACGGAATAATTATAGTATCATGATAATATCGAGATCTCTTATATAAAATACTAGCTATAACCCGCGAATTAACCTGTCTGTCCTGTGATACCGTACGTGATAGTACAAATTTCATTAAGGTCCGTTCTGGTTGACTAAACGAATCAGAAAATTATAACAAACTTGCTACACCCGCGACTTCGCCCGCATGGAATTTAACTTTTTTTTCTAAAATAAAAGTAGCCTAAGTTACTCCTTATTACATCAGCTACCTGTCAAAAAAAGTTCCGTTCAGTCCAATTATTTCAGAGATTAGCCGGAATAAACAGACAGACAGACAGACAAAATATTATTTTGGTGTATGTTATATTTATATGCTATCTTTCCGTATTTATATTCATATCCAATTTTATTTATATGTATAGATGTCTAAATAATTTTGATATCGAAAAATTATTCGACGAACATATTTGTATTAGAAACACAGATAAATACTTATTGCCGTTCTTTTAGTAATTAAGTTATAAATACGGTGTATGTAGTAACTAGCAACTGATGCTAAAATTTTTGGTAATTTTTAGGTTTCAGTATGGCGGATCCAGATCTGAATCTTAAATTTGGTTTGTTTTCGAGCAATTATATAGTTGTTAGATAATGTCATAATTACATATAAATGTGGATGTCGGTGGTTGTGCCTGCATTATTTATTTGCAATCTTTTCATTTCTGTGTATTTAATGTTTGTATATGTATTTTGTTTTATTATGGTTACTGGTTGTTCACTGGTTTTGTTTATCAACAGTGAACAATACAAAAACGAGAGAATTGTTATGTGAGCTTTTAGTGTGGAATTTACTTATAATTTTGCCGTAAGAATACTCATATGTAGATGTACTACATATGAGTATTCTTGCGGCAAATTTTTTTCCGTGTAGGTATCTTATAGTAGTTTATCTTATCTGAGCCTATAGATATATAGTAGTACTCCATGTCGTATTGCCAAATTAACTTAATTGGTTCCTTATATTATGTCAATTACTTATAATTGTAAATACAATAAGAATAAATACATAAACTAAATTATAGAAAAATTGGTAAATTGAAAAATATAATGTATTTTTTTTAAATAATAATTATGAAAATAATCTCCAAATCCATATGGCTAAAATGTCGATCCCTTATGGATCGTATGCTTTTAGGCAATGATAATAATCAGCATCATTAAGTTGTATCATTTATAATATTCAATTTTTTTCTATCCTAGAGTTCCGTAAGTAAGTACCTAGGGAAAAATAAATATAGAATAATATCATCTATTTTGAACTACTAAATAATTATATTTAGTTAAAATTTAGAATAATTTTAGTTATTGTTGTTGTTAGAAAGAAAATTTTGAAAACTGTTGTCTTGTGAAGGCTTACCAAAGTTATATCTTTTTTAAACACTACTAACACATCACCAAGTATTCACCTTTTCCTATATGGTATCTACTGTTTTATAAGATTAGAAAGAAATAGGGAATTTCCGTTACGCTAGTTTGACTTGATCGCCTTTAATATAGCCGTAGTTGTTATTTTTTTATGCAATTCTGTAAATTACTAAGTATATCCATTATTTTGAACGGCATCGTAAAGAAATATCATGCTATTATATATCAATTTAAATCTTATTTACGAATAACAATATTATCTGTGGAGTTAAAGTGCTTGCTTATGTATGAGTGTATGTCCTATGTCTCATTACTAAAATGTCTGTCTTATATTTAGTTTGTTATAATATTATTTATTTGTTTTGCAGATACCATGGAGGCAGGAGATTTTAAAGACTTCGCCAAGGCTATGACTGACTATATAGCAGAATATCTGGAAAATATAAGAGATAGGTAAATATATTAGTAGAGCTGTTTATTTTTTAGATTATATAAGCTAATAGAGCCGTTATTATTAATATTGAGAATTCATAGCTATTAATATATTTACCAAGAGGTGTAGAAATATTGTAGAATAAAGTAAAGAGAATTTGACATATTAAATGTTATATTTAAACATCTGATTTCAGGCAAGTAGTACCATCAGTAAAACCGGGTTACTTAAGACCTCTTGTACCGGACCAGGCTCCTAAGGAACCAGAGCCATGGACCGCTGTAATGGCTGACATCGAACGTGTGGTTATGTCTGGAGTAACACATTGGCATTCTCCACGGTTTCATGCCTATTTCCCAACGGCTAACTCGTACCCGTCCATCGTGGCTGACATGCTCAGTGGTGCCATCGCCTGTATTGGCTTTACATGGGCAAGTACTATTATATTTATTTGAGTTTTCCTCTCACTAATTGTACCAAACATGCGAAGCAATGCCAATTCTTCGAAAAATTGTTAACTACAGTAGAAACAATGAACCTAGTTAGTTAGCTCTACTTGGGAACGTTACCTACTTACCCATTAAATAACAAGTTAACAACCTATAGAACGCTGCAAGTATACCTATGTAAATATATCTATTTCGATTTAGAAATTATGTGCTAAAGATAATTTTTATGATTTCCCTCTCAAGCGATATCGCGAATTATAGAACAATTATAAAATATATTTATTATTAGATTTTATGAAACTATAAAAATAGCTTTATTTCATAACGTTAAATTATATCAATTGTTGATCGAAATAAATAAATTCTACACCGACTAAATTAGCATAAAATAAAGTATATATAATACCAACCTGTTGATACTTTTTGAACGAACCAATAAATGTTTTATATATTTTTACTAAGTTTACTCTTGTCAGAGATTAACAATAATAATTAAATATATATCAAGATACAATATTTACATAAACATAATATATATCGAGTTAGGTAATATTTTTTTTATGAATCAAAATAGGTATTTATTTGTAGATATTAACATAATAAATTACTAATAAATATTGTTTTAATTTCTGCTATCCAATGGCATTGTCAATGTCATTGCCTCAAAATGCGAACAAGGAAAACAAGTCTGACTGTAGGTACACATATGATATTATATCATGTATATTGTCTACAAGTTATACAACAAGGTAACACAATGTTATCTACATTTCTAAACGCACAATTTCCGATTTGAATTTTAAATTACATATATTATTATAAATATGTATTATATAATTACATATATAATACATATTTATTATTACTCGTAACTGTTTTTAGAGGAAGGTATATTGTAAATATAAGGTCTAAAATGGCACAGGGTACTTAAATCACGGATAACATCGACTTGCTCCTGATTTCATTATACACGAGCTAGGAAACGATCCACAGCGCTTCCCATATTGCCTCTGATTTTCCGAGTAATAATACTTATAAAGTACCACAATCAAATATACATAATAGTAGTTTTAGGTACCTATAATATACTATGAGAAACAGGTAAAGTGGAAGTTGATATCGCAAATTAAAGGTTACGAACAAATAATTATTGTCAACAGATTTTTATTATATGTAAATATGATATTTTTTTTGTATTAAGTAAGTATCAGATGACACGAAAATAAGAAATATATAGTTATACATTCGTGTGTTTAGAATTTTGTTTATGGCTATAAAATTGAACCGCGGACTCGGTGTACCTAATTTAGTTTGGGAGGACTAAATTACCATTGATAATATGGATATTATAATGATTTTCGTGTCGTAAATAATTATGTAAAATTTTAATATCAGTTTAAATATCCGTCATCACATTGCATGTACCTACGTAAGTAAGTACCTGTAATTTTGGAAAGTCGGTACAAGAAATATCCCGTTACTCTGGGTGTGAATGATTTCGTATTCATAGTTTAAAATAAAAATGTCTACACTTCTCAACATAATATACCTCTTAAAATTTCCAGATTGCCAGCCCGGCGTGTACCGAACTCGAAGTAGTGATGCTAGATTGGTTGGGTCAAATGCTAAGCCTGCCGGAAGCGTTCTTAGCCCGTTCTGGGGGAGAAGGCGGTGGCGTCATACAAGGCACGGCCAGCGAAGCTACACTCGTCGCACTGCTTGGTGCTAAGGCTCGAACAATGCAACGTGTTAAGGAATCACACCCTGAATGGACAGAATCGGAAATTCTTTCAAAACTTGTCGGATATTGCAATAGTAAGTTAAGTTAAGTTTAGTTACTATAATTACGTAACAAAGGTACGACTGCACAAATTTGTAATTAGGTAGAATTTAAATAAAAGCCGAATATCTGCTATCAGTTATAAATACTTAAATATTATGATTTAAAGACCTACTTTAAATGTTGAAGTTCAGCGCAATCACTCGCATATTATGTTATTTATTGATATGGACATTGTAAGAAATCGGCTGCGTGGGTATCTCAGTCTCGTCCATTTCAGCCGCCAAGTTTTGATTTGTAAACTATCTTTCAGTTTAAGGGTGAGATAAGAGAGTGAAATTGCATAGTGGATATGAGGCATGAGGGGTAACGTTTTAACACGTTACTTCTGTAGTACAGTTCATGTAGGTATATAGGTTGCTACTTACCATCAGGAGGGTCATCATTTTGTTTGCCATTCAGAATGCTTAAAAAAATCTTCATAATATTTCAGAGCAGGCCCATTCATCTGTGGAGCGAGCTGGTCTTTTGGGTGGTGTAAAACTACGAACTTTGAAGCCGGACAACAAACGACGGCTCCGTGGCGATATATTACGTGAAGCCATGGATGAAGATATCCGTAATGGACTTATTCCTTTCTATGTGAGTAACATACATTCTATATTGATAAATGATAATTCTAACCTGTATACATAAACATCACGTTATCATGTCACAGCCGTGGTAGGTTCACTGGTTGACTAAGATATCAGGCCTCAGTATCTTGTAATTTTACTGTCTTATGTGAGATATACTGGAATTGGAGAAAAGGCAATTAAATTACAAGAACCTTTAATGAAACATCCATGACTGACAAAGCGAGGTATGTGGAGGCTGTAAGACGGCGAGGCAAAGGTACGCAGAAACAATGTACAAAGTCGACTTTTGTAAAATTTCTCAGTTTTATTATTAATTTAATATAAAAAAATGTGTAAAAACTAAACTTGACCTTTTTGTATTCCTTTTCGATATAAATATCAAGTATGCTCATTTTCATAATCATCATTCTGCGCAATTCTCGCAAAAAAACGGTACAAAATGTTTGTTTAATGTACGCGAATATTTATATTAAAATTTCATTTTACAGGTAGTCGCAACTTTGGGTACGACTTCGTCTTGCACTTTTGACGCTTTGGATGAAATAGGTGATGTATGCAACGAGCAAGACGTATGGTTGCACGTAGACGCCGCTTATGCCGGATCTGCATTTATATGTCCAGAGTATCGTTATCTTATGAAAGGTATAGAGAAAGCAGATTCCTTTAACTTCAACCCTCATAAATGGATGTTAGTGAACTTTGACTGTTCCGCACTGTGGTTGAAACAACCACGTTGGATCGTTGATGCTTTTAATGTAGATCCTCTCTACTTGAAACATGACCAGCAAGGGTCAGCGCCTGATTATCGACATTGGCAAATTCCTCTCGGTCGACGATTTAGAGCTCTTAAGCTGTGGTTTGTTCTAAGGTTGTACGGCGTGGAAAACCTTCAAAAGCACATCAGAAAACATATCGCATTGGCTCATCTCTTTGAGAAACTTTGCACTTCAGATGAACGATTTGAACTTTTTGAGGAAGTCACAATGGGTTTAGTTTGCTTCAGACTTAAAGGTAGTAACGAGCTAAATGAAGACTTGCTGAGACGCATTAATGGCAGGGGTAAAATCCATCTTGTTCCTTCAAAAATAGATGATGTATATTTCTTAAGATTAGCAATTTGTTCTCGATTTTCCGAGGAAAGTGACATCCATTATTCCTGGGAGGAGGTTAAAGCCTCGGCAGAAGATGTACTAAAACTTTCAAAATAAATACTAGAACAAATAAATTTATCTGCAACTTTGAAATAAATAAGTATTATTGCGCAGAAAGTTTATAAAATTTTTAAACTTATTCTTTAAGTTACTGCAATGTGACTATACCTACCTACATGTAATTATTTATTTAGCTATTTATTTATCATTTGTGATATTCATTGAGTGAGCATCGTAGTGACTATAGTGATGCAATGTATGTATGTATGTAATTTAGACGGAATGAAGTAATGAAATAAGTCTAATTTATGTAATTATTTAAGTCAGACGGCTGACTTAATAATTAGAAATATTATACACTATATCCTAATTTCTTATTTCAGATGTTTTAGTAGCAACTTTAAAATTACGATACAGTGAAAAATTTGATCCAGTGTTAGCAAATATAGTATCTAATATGTACCTATGCACCTATTGTAATCAAAACAACATTTAATAATACCACCAAAAAATACTATCATAGAAAAAACATTGGTATTTGTCATTGAACGATAGCATGATTCTCATTTATTAGTAGTACAAGTAGTAACCCTATGACTATATGTAAAATCATATTATCTGTGCTATAACTAAACATTGTAGTTGTTGTTGTAATTAGAGAATATACCTAAAATTTTTATGTCTGTAATTATAGACAGTCAAAATAGATATTTAGATGTAGAATAGAAGCATTGTATCCGATTATTTTTTATTTGCGGAGAAAATGATAACATATACTCGTACATATGAGAGAATACATAGGTCGGCGCAGTTTGATAATTAAAATCATAAAAAAATAATACGTGAGTGCTATTCTTTTTAAAAGACCCTTCTCTGCTTCATAATGTAAGCATTATCCTAATAACGAAGTGTCACTTGTTTCTAATACTTATATCTAGTTGAACCTATATTAATAATGTCGTAATTTGAGATCAACTTTTTTATTACCTAGTTGATTATGGGAACCAGTTACTTCCTTGGTACTTATGACTATTATGTTGTGATGAACAGATGTGATTTATTATACAAAATAAAACCCGGTGTTAATTTTTATACATGCCTACCTAGTTTGTAATTGTTATTTATGTACTAAGTTCTGACCAATTTTTTTTAAATTCTAATTATAAGCAAATACTAATATAAATATGAAATATTTATTATATAATTTAAAAATATTTAGATAATTCTGATTTTGGGACAATATAAAAATGATAATAAAAATTTCTAGCTAGATAGTACCTATATTCTCATAATAATTTATTGTAATAATACCTATATTAGATGTACTAGTAGTAGTATGTATATTATAGATAATACTGAGAGTATATTCGTTGTCTAATTATTTGCTATATAATAAAACATGTATACGACGTATAAATTTTGTGTATAATTTTTTTTTCTATAGGTATTGCCTTTTTCTTTTCCTGAGTAGAATAGAATAGAAAATCATTTATTCAAATAAACTTACATTGAAACACTTTTGAATAGTCATTACATTTTTTTTAATCTACCGCTCGTTCGGAAAGCTGTCTCATCACAAGAAGAACGAGCATGAAACTTGCGTGTTGCTCTTTTAAATAATTTTATTATTACTTTACATTTTTAAGTTTAAGTGTGTTTGTATTCACAAACCACCAATTAGCACTAATTCAATTAAATACTTAAATAGAAAAAATATTGAATATATAACCAACTAGTTAAACAATTAATAAGAGTTAATCAGTCATAGTGATTAGAGCAGACCAGTCCCTACAAGCAGCACCCGTTCACGAGTATGACGGATAAGCCAGCCACCACTGCGCTCGACCATATTTTAGGGAGCCCAATGACCCGGCTCACCACGCCGCCACAAGTCTGGGCATTTTATTGAGCATGACTACTCAAAACATCAGACCACGTCAAAGCTACTTACAATTGCCATCTGATAGTTATAGTATTCACATTTTACATAAGAATGCATGCGACAATCAATACAAAAACCGCTACGCTTTCATATTTCTAAAATCAATCAATTAAATCAAGAAAGCAGTGAGAAAATTAAATTATAACGTTGTATGCTAATAAACTTATTTACTTGATATGTTGTCATCTGATGTACTTGGTCGATGGAAAAACGACTTGTTTAGTATAAATAGTTTATTTTGTTAATATAATATTACGAATGTACAATATAGTTTTTTTTGACAATATATATTTTTCATCTTAAAGCGGCGATCGAGTGAGTAGTGATGTGCCAGTGTCACCAACAAACTCCTCCTCACAACACTATTACTAGATTGTGATGCCCAGACAACTTCTCAGTTGTGATAGTCTTGGTCCTGGTAGTCCTTTAGTGAGTAAGTCAGCTTCCATCGTTTTTGTGTCCATATATTTTACTTGGATCACTCCCTCTTTAACACTATCACGAATAAAGTGTAGTTTTAAATCGATATGTTTCGACTTCGATGTGATTATCGGATTCTCACTCAACTTTAGCGCAGCTTGGTTGTCATTAAATATTACAACAGTTTGTTGCGAAATGCCCAAGTCTTCAAATAGTCTTTTTAAGTAGATTGCCTCTTTAGCAGCTTCAGACAATGAGACATATTCAGCTTCGGCTGTTGAAAGTGCTACACACTTTTGTTTTCTTGATGACCAACTAATACATGAGCCAGCATATTTAAAGCAATATCCAGAAAATGATTTTCTGTCCATTTTATCTGCACCCCAGTCAGCATCTGCCAGTCCATATAAATTATTTGAGCCTTTCTTTTCAAATCTTAAACCAATAGTTTTTGTACCTTTCAAATATCTGAGAATTATTTTTGCGCATTTAAAATGTTCTTCATCATAGCTATCATTGAATTGTGATAGATAACTTACGGAGTACATAATATCAGGTCTAGTAGCTACGGCGCAATACATCAGTGTACCAATCAAGTTTTGATACGGTAATTCTCGTTTTTTCTCTTTATTAGGTTTTAATGTCAAACCGGGTTCGATAGGTGTGACAGCAGCTTTACATTGTTCCATTTTGAATTTATTTAAAATAATATCTATGTATTTTTCTTGACATAATTTTATTGAATCTCCTTGGTAACTGATATCTATACCAATTAATCTATTTGGTTTACCTAAGTCTTTCAATTCAAATTTTGTGGCTAAAACATTTTTGATTGTGTTTAGCGTTTTTGAACATGAGTAAGCAATGAGTATGTCGTCTACATATATAGCAACTATGATTTTCACTCCTCCTTTCGCTAGTATGTAAACGCATGGATCTGCTTTCGATGGTTCAAAATGTAATGCTTTCAGTTCATTATCTAGTTTTATGAACCATTGTCTTCCAGATTGTTTTAACCCATATAGAGCTTTTTTAAGTAAACAAATCTTTTCATTATTATCAGATTTTAAATCTTCAAGCATTTTCTTAGCTTTATTGTATATTATCATGTCATTTTTATCTATTTCGTCTATCATAATTTCCATTAAATATTCTTCAAGACAGTCAGGAACTTTCATACTTATATTTTCATCTAATTCGCCATTTAAATAAGCAGTAGTGACGTCCATTTGATTAAGTTGTAATCCTTCTTGTACAGATAAATTTAGTACTGATCTAATTGAGCTTAATTTGGCAACTGGAGCAAATGTTTCATTATAGTCAATCCCTGGTCTTTGGGTAAAACCTCTCGCTACAAGTCTTGCCTTTTTTATTTCTGTATCATTAGGACACATTTTCTTTTTTAATATCATTTTATGGTCTATGACTTTTGCGTCTTTTGCTTTTTTCATTATCTCCCATGTACCATTTTTTACATGAGCTCTGATTTCAGCTTTTATGGCGTCACGCCAATCCTCATTTTTTTCTTCTTCACATAGGTATGTCATTTCATATATATTTTCATTGAGTTCTTGTACATTATTGAGAACGTAATCATTATATCGCGATGGTAGTCTTCTCTGCCTACGCGATGTATGCATATTATCTTGATTAACTTGTGAAGTCTGATTGTCATCTGTTTCATTTCGCTCTTCATCACTTGTTGAGATCTCTATATTTGATTGTGTATGTTCATTAGGTATCTCTAATATTGGTGTGGAGCTGGTAGACGGTAAAACAGGTAAGTTTTTATTATTATTATTTATATTTTCCATTTCAATAATTATATTTTTATTTTCAGGTAGGAGTTTTTCTTCGTTATTGAAGATATCAAAGTCATCACTTGTTTCACTTTCATAGTACATTTTATTTATGAATTTTACATCTCTACTAATATTTACTTCATTTTTATTTGGTATGTAAATTCTGTAGCCTCTTGAACTTTTAGCGTATCCAACAAATACTCCTTCAATTGCTTTCGGTGAGAACTTTCCCCTTCGTTTCTTTATCAGAACGAAAGCTTTTGTACCAAAAATGCGTAAATGATTTGCTGACGGTACTCGTCCCATCCATTTCATAAACGGTGTTTCTTGTTGTAAGGCTTTAGAAGGACTTCTATTTATAAGATAGTTCGCTGTGAAAATAGCTTCTGCCCATAACGAATTAGGAACTTTTGATGCTATAATCATGCAACGGGCTTTATCGAGTAGAGATCTATTTTTTCTTTCGCTTACTCCATTTTGTTGTGGCGTATATGGTGTTGAGAGTCGTCTCACGATGCCATTATCTTTTAAGAATTGTTCAAATTCTTTTCCACAATATTCTGTTCCGTTATCGGATTGTAATGCTTTGATCTTTTTATTCCAAAAGTTTTCTACTTTATTTTTATATTCTTTAAATATTTCTAATACTTCATTTTTTTGTTTTAAGAAATATATGCAACAATATCTAGTATAATCATCAATAAATGTCACAAAGTATCTGGAACCAGCCAATGATTCATGTGGCATAGGCCCACAAACATCCGAGTGTATTATTTGTAGAGGTTCATTTGTTTTTATAGCTTCATGACTTTGGAATGGTAGCCTGGTCAGCTTTCCTTTTATACATGTTTCACACGGGTCTAGTTTTCCATTTGTCAATTGTATACCTCTTATCAAATTTTCTTTGTGTAAAACTTTCATATCATTTTCATTTAAGTGACCTAGTTTCTGGTGCCACATAGCATTCTTTTCATTTTTTATTGCATAAGCTGTGTTATTTTTGTCACATTTTACATAATATAATCCATTATATTTTTCAGCAGTAAGTAGTATATCACCTTCATTGTTTTTTATTAATGCCTTTTTCTTTGTAAATAATACAGAATTACCTTTATCAGTGATCTTACTAACGGATATTAAGTTTTCAGATATATCAGGTACATATAATGTGTCAGCGAGATTGCATTTTTCACCATCTACCTTAATCGTTACTTTTCCTTTACCTTTTACGTTAGCGGTGTGAATGTTAGATGCCAACTTTAGCAATCCAGTTTCTGATGATAGGTTTGTAAATTTTTCCTTTTGATAGGTAATGTGCATCCACTGTCCAATACCCAAGAATCTGTATCAATGTTTTCTTTACAAAGTGATAAACATACATTTAATGTTTTTTCTGATTTTTTGTCTTTATTATAATTACTACTTTTATTATATTTATTGTACTTTTTCTTACTCCAGCAGCTTTCAGTGGAATGGCCCTTTTTGTTACAGTTTTCACATTTTATTTGTTTCAGATTTTTATTATTTCTGCTGTAAAATGCTCCATCGGATCTCTCTGGTTTGTTAACTTGTTTTCTAGCTTCACCTTCTTCGAGTATTTTTATTTTTAAGTCTTCCGGATTTGGTAATGTATCCCTAGATTCTATTGCAATTCTAAAGTTTTCATATGCACTAGGAAGGCTGTATAACATCATAATACTCAATAGTTCTGGATGTATTTTGACTTCCATATCGGCTAGTTTATCGACTATGTCTAGGAATTCATTCAAATGATCGCGAATATCGCTTTGAGAGTCCATTTTTTGTAAAACTAATTTTTTTAGGAGGGTTGCTTTTCTAGCGGGACCTGAACTTTGATAAGATGATTTCAGTTTATCCCAAATCTCTTTTGATGTCTTACATGTTTTTATTTGTTTTAATTCTGATGGAGATATTAGTAATAATATTTCCGATTTTGCCATCATATCGGATTTTTGAAATGCTGCGATAGTTTGGGGACATGCATCTGTTTCTAGGGAAATTTGTCCACTAACATATTCCCATAAATCGGCTTTTATAAGCACTGCTTGTGCCTGGAGACACCATGTATCATAATTGTTTTTATGTAATGGTTCTATTCTATACGTTGCCATTTTTTATATTATATGTTTCTATTTATTTCATAACTTTGTCGAATTTTCTTACCATACGGTCTGCTACCATTTGATGTACTTGGTCGATGGAAAAACGACTTGTTTAGTATAAATAGTTTATTTTGTTAATATAATATTACGAATGTACAATATAGTTTTTTTTGACAATATATATTTTTCATCTTAAAGCGGCGATCGAGTGAGTAGTGATGTGCCAGTGTCACCAACATCATCTATGAATTCGTCTATCCTGTAATAGGCTTTCTTACATAAAAATTGTTTAATATAAGATTTGAATTGCCTCTCTGTCAGATTTAATGCAGATTCTGGCAGTTTATTATAAAATCTAAATAGGTAAGTAGTAGCTAAATATTTCCATATTTAGCTTATTTGTTATTTAGAACATTAGAAAAATTAATAGAGATGAGATTATTTAGGGGTAGATATAAAATAACTTCAAAGCGCGGTCGTTCGTACCGAGTACCTATTATTTTAAACAATTTCATTGTTCTTTATAGAGGATTTATGTACTAGACAGCTTGAAGTAGCCATTAACATTCTTAAAAATAAAAAGAACAAATTACGTTCTGCTTACTCTATGCTAGTGTAAATTCTCTTCAAAAAGTTCTAGGGAAACCAAAATTGGAAAGTGTTATGTAATAATTTGAGTGTAAATGTGAGAAAACCTAAATTTTAATGCAAACAACGCATCGAAATGAATTTGTCACATATAAAATCAATATGGAAAGAAAGGTCTTGGATTATACTAAAGTGCTACTGCTCATTACAAATAAACATGGTAACTCAATTATCAACTACAGCCCGCCGTAGACTGAGTAGTGCCGTGAGCGCAGCAGGGCAAGAGCAATGTATTCTCGATTCGTGTAGCATTGGCCCAAATTGTCAGGAGCCAAGAGTGATTGTCGTGGGTGCTGGAATGGCGGGCCTGTCAGCTGCACATCGCCTTACTCAATGTGGCGTTCGGAATTTCGTAGTTCTTGAGGCAAAAGAAAGGCGAGTTATTTGCATATCCTTTCAGTTTACATAATGTAATGTATAATATAACAGATTCTTTACCTCATAGCTGCTTCTTTAAACAATTGTAAAAGTAGCAGATCTAAAGAATTCATATAGGTATTCTTGATTTAAAGTAATATGTAGGCAAAACACTGAATTTGCATATAACACTGCCTAATTATTGGTCAAATACTAACATGCAAAATAAATGCATCTGCAAAATTGGAGGGCGAGATAGCTAAAATAGATGTTGTAAGATTTTAAATAGCTTCTGATTATCTGAAGATTTGAGAAAATTAGTGTTGTAAATTAAGTTTTGTATACCTCAGATTGTTAAATAGAGGAATGTGGCATACATATCTAAATATATGTCTATGTAATACTAGCTATACATACAATATGTATAATATTAATTCATGAATTTGATTTCCAGACCTGGTGGACGGATTCATTCATGTTGGTTAGGTGACGCCGTCATTGAAATGGGAGCAGAATGGATATACGGGGCTTGTTTACCCAATTCTGTTTATACACTCGCATCTCAGGATAGACTTTTACAAACCCCACTGCCTCGTTTAGATGCTTCTCGTGGATTATTTTGTACCAGTGAAGGTCGTGCTGTAGATCTTCCAGTTACTATAACAGCTTATCATACGTTTCGACAAATAGAACAGCAAGCAGCTAACTTATTTAGACTAGGAGGTGAAAGACATCATGGAACACTACTAAATTTTGTTGGTTTACGTATACAGCAAGAATTATATAATTTCCCTGAAGATCAAAGATATGATGCCGCTCGTGTAATGTTTGGACTTACGAATATTTTAAGAAACAGATGTGGGGATGATTTATCTCTTGTTAGTGCCGACCAGTATGGTAGCTATATTGAATTACCAGGTGGGAGTGTTCGAGTACCATTAGGTTATGTTGGAGTGATGGCACCTTTACTACGAGGTCTTCCGGACAACTGTATACGGTATAATAAGCCAGTAAATGTAGTTCGTTGGGGGCCAGGTCAAGCTGGCTCCAGTCGTGTTCTTGTAAAATGCTGTGATGGTGAGGAGCTAACTGCCGATTATGTTATACTTACCATGTCACTTGGATGTCTCAAATGTCAATCCGATAAATTATTTGCGCCACCTCTACCAGTTTGTAAATTAGATGCTATCTGTAATTTAGGATTTGGATTGAGTGATAAAGTATTCCTTGAGTATGCTGAGCCATTTTGGGTGTGTCATGAGGGTAATTTAAAATTGGCTTGGTCGGCTGAAGAATTACAATACAGATGTGATTGGACTCGTGGTGTGAGTTCTATTGATGAAATGCCTGGTAGCAAACATGTATTATGTGCATGGCTATCAGGACAAGAAGCTGCTGTAATGGAAACTATGGCAGACAATGATGTTGTTGAAGGGTTAACGCAGTTATTACGGAGATTCACAGGTAATCCTTGTCTCCCCTATCCACAAATGATGTTACGTTCTCGATGGGCATCAGATCCACATTTTTGTGGAGCTTATTCCTACGTGAGTTGTTGTTCAACAGTAAGCCATCAGTGTGAGTTAGGTACACCAGTACCAGGACCTTGCGATCCGCAACCACCAATTCTTCTGTTTGCGGGTGAGGCAACTGTACCTGGTTATTTTGCAACTGTACATGGAGCAAGACTCAGCGGGATTCGAGAAGCAGAACGGATAGTACAACTTACAAAAAAATTTGAGGGACCACCACGTTAATTTTTTTTTTACCTAAAACTTAATTTAATCAAATTCTATTTATGTGCCAACTAGTTTCATGTGAAAATGAGTCATCCAGTCCATAAAATTATGTAAACAACTGTAAAGCAAAGATAAATACTTAAACAAGGAAGTATTGTAGTAGTATTATTCGTGTTGTGATCATTAGCGCCTATAATGACGGAAGTAGCAAACAGATAAACTGAACTGTACTTATGTGTTATTTAAGTCTCTAATTAATAAATTATGATATCGAATTTTGATCAATAAATTCTTGACCCTCCCTTTACTTGGTTCTTAGGTATCTACTGACTTTAAGTAGAAAGAAGTTCTAAATTAGGTTCGTTGATTCATGAGCCCACACTCGGTTTTCTTAATTTGTTTATAGACTAGTAAAAGTAAACTAGAGCCTGATGAGTAGGCACAGAATCTGTTGTGTATTGATATATTACCGGTAATATATATTTACATTATTTCATCTGAGAAATACAAAACTTAATGTTATTTAATGGTAGTATTTTTACTTTATTTTTGTAGAAATAAACACAATTATTCATTACTCTACGTGTTTGCTCATTTTGCCCAAAGCAGACGAGCTACATCACTGTAAGATGCGGACTGCTAGGCGGATTGTTAATAGTATCTTAATTATGCGGATTCTCAATATTCGAACTCAACTAGGCCAGTGCACCCAGATACAACCCAATAGGTTATTGTGATGATGATGTAGGCCATTATAAAATTATATATTTTATTCTTAGTAAGCTATAATACATTTCAACCTCATTGCTTCAACACAAAGTAACGTACCCAACGTTACTTTGTCTATCACTATTGCATGATTACGAGCAAGTCATTTAGTTTTGGACAAAAGTATTTCTTAACAAAACTTGTTTCGAGTGGAAATTGATGTGATTTGATAGTTTATATGATAAGCTATCAAATAAATATAAGATAACTTAGGTTAACGTGCTACTTTATGTTACAATATACCTAAATATCATTTATTCCAATGTTTTACTAAAACTTATTTGTTGGACTTTTTCATTTTTTTAATTTAGAGTTATAATTTCAAAATCGATTATTATCACATAAGATGGACTAGCCATTTTGATATATATAGTGTGTCAATTATTAATCTACCAGTAGTTACATATTACTGTTATTGCGCGATTGATTCGAATAAAAATAGGAAATATATAGAGGCAGGTACAAATCCCCAACAATGGCAGGGATGACTAGCATAATTACCTAATGAACTTTAGGATTCATAGAGTATCTACTTATGTACTTTCTGTCGGAGTGGGAAGCCATAAACTGTAGGCACCTACATAATATTAAACCATATTTACTTCTAATTTTTAATTATATTTCATAGTTTAGGTAAACTGGAAACGCTAATAAAAAAAAAATATGATTACATTTTATTACAATTTATTTATAGATACGATTTTATAGGTAATACATTAAACTATAGCTACTACAATTGTGTTTGAAAACTGAATAAGACATGTTTTTGCACTGGTGGTGTATCTACGACAATTATTACGAAGGTTTCTTTACTTGGTTTCAATATGCGAATCGAGAAAACGCTAAATTGTTGGTATTGTATTTGTAAAAAATATGAATAAACATAACCATATCGAAGGTCGTTACTCTTAGCATTTCATTACTATTATTCTGTGTATTGTTAGTTATGTTGACGAACTAGAGAGTCAGGTTTCAGCTTTAAACAAGTTTGACTAGTTTTGGTTTAAAATACTTTGAGAACATAACACGCCGGGACTCGATACAATACTTTAATTATAGTACCTACGTATGTTTATATAGAACAAAGTATTGTATTAAACTAAATATTGCCAAACTCGACAGCGCTACAATGTGAAGAAAATATATTTATCTTTACTTACATATAATCTTTGTATTCGTTAAGAGGCGAGTTAGGTATTTTATTATTTTAGGATATAAATATATTAATACGTATATCGATATCTTTGTACGTGTACCAGGTGAACTCCTCCCTACATTATGTATGTATATGCATGGGTGTACCCAGCGTCTGACCCCGGTGGGGCAAGTTAGATGTTTACGTTGGACAGTAGTATTTTTCAAACCCATACGCTTATAATTTTCATTAAGGCCCCTACATAAAAGATGTCCCAATCCAACTACCTTGGGTACGTCCATAGGTATATTTATATTGTCTTACCGATTCATCATTTTTAGGATCACTGTAATGTCTTTATATTACCTGTTTTTCTAAAAAAGCTCCATGCAGATGGTATCCACAAACTTTCGCAAACGACGGTTCTCTCTCAGTAAGATACATTGGTTGGGAGCCTTAGTGGTAGGTACCTAAGTATGATTTTACTCCGTATATCCCTATCAACAGAAATGATTGGAAATTAACTTATGTAGAACACAAATAAGTGTTTAGAGATTACCAACCTTACTGCTATCTACCTACCTAATATTAAATTATTTTTTCCCAGAAAAGGGAATATAAAATTGATATAACTTTATAATTTTAGGGATAATTTATTTATTAAAATACTGATACTTTTCTCTTTATATATATAATGTAACAAAGGGCTAAATATTTCGAACCTCCAACTTCAAAAATTTTGATTCTCCATACAAATTTATAAATAGTACCTATATAGTTATATGTATATACTATAATTATATGTTGACTTAAAATCTAAGGAAATACTAATAAGGAATCAATTTAGACATAGGATGATGTGCCAATAATGGTGAAACTTTTTTCTTAATCTTTTAATGGCCTGAGTAGATACAATATTTAAAATTATACAATACAATCTATAAAAGATTAACACTTTTTTACTCCCCTTAGAGAATGGATATTCATATAAATCCCTTTTTAGTTCTCAAGGTACCTGGTAAATATTTTGGTCAATACCCGGTGGATTCACCACTATGAACGAACTGACTAGACTTGCTCTTCACCCTAATATCCTCCACGGGTGACCCGCCAGCAGATACAGTTAGCGGAGGCGGGTGCACCTTACAATATTCATCACCCATAACATATCAATTAATTTTTAGTGAGAAGAGTAGTAATTTGCGTGCATTCGCGTTATACAAATCAAAGTTTAAGATATTAAGTTTTAACTGTAAGTTTTCTATGTTATTCATTTCAATACAGGGCACAATATGAATAATAATAAAGATAGTGTTTTTAGATTCCTGTTTCTGTCACCCACACATCTTTTCGAAAGATACATTGTACAAATCTCAGGGACACTCGCCTGTGGCTACCAATATACAATAGTAATCCTGGATATACAAATAAATCTTTTAATATTACATTTTGACACATCAATTAAACATAAATAGATAAACTAACCTTCAAACAGTAACAGTAAATTAATATACTCACGATTGAGTAGTTACTTAGATAGCATATTGCTACTAACGACTTATTTTGTCAACCATTGCTATTAATGGTAAAGTAAATTAATGTTAATGACATATTATGATTAAATTGTTTTTAAGTGGCAAAATGCACATACATAACACACAGACAAACAAAATATACAACACACATACAGACTTATTGATCATGATTTGTTTATGGAAATCAGATCTCTTATACAGTAAATTCATAATAGTAACATAATAATTGTATTATGTTACTATTATGAATTTACTGATTACATTTTACATTTACATTTATTGATAAACATTGGTTTATCAATACTTTAGAACAATTTAATAACTATAGTTAAATTAAGTAAGACAATAAATTAATATTTTCTCAGTAAATAATATAATAAATATAAATTTAATTAATATTGTTCACTAAGAAAATAGCTTTAGATGGGAATAATTTACATACAAAATTTCAAACCGCCGAGAAAGCTACCAGAACTGACATTTGATGATAAGGATTCATCAAATTCTATTGAGATCTTCTGACTTTTATAAAGCCTTTCTCTAACTTCCACTACATATGAATAAGATGTAAATCTGTTATGTGTCCACAGAAAACTGATTTTATACCATTTATCTTTTTTTATAAGACAGGGCTCATTTAGATCTATATCCACAAATGAATTATATTCAACAGTGTTCATGAAATTTGTAAATTTTATTACATTATTATCAGATTCTGATACTACAGTAATACATAGTTGCTCAGAGTATAGTTTTGGTGCATTGTTTCTAAATGTTACAGCAGGAGCCATTCTAGTAGGTATGTAGAGTGAGTTAAGAAATATAGGTTTATTCACTTTAATTCTAGTGTTCACAATAAAATTGTTTATATCTATTACAATAGGTGCTACTGATCTCAATGGACTGCGGTGACAAAAATACCACTGCAGTTTTAATGAGCTCCTTGGTATCTCGTTTGGGCTAAGTAAATTAATAACATTATTACATGTCACATTTTCTGACTTTTTAATAACTTCTTTAATGTATTCATATTCAAATGGATACAATAGATTGTTTGTACTCTTTACAACTTCTTCTAAATCATTTAATGAAAGTGTACAGAATCTTAACAATTTAAATATTCCATTTTTAATTAAAATATTCCGTCTATTGTCTATTGTGCAATTATCATTATTTTGTTTACACTGAAATGTAGTCCATTCAAAAACATGTTTTATCAGATCTTTCTCCTTTATATTAATTTTTTCTGAATCTAGTATTAGTTTCATACATGGATATGATATTATGTTTTTATATTCATGCAGTAAATAACTGGCATGTTCACAAAATAACTTTAAAGAATATGAAGTCAACTGTTTGTCTTGTAAGTACTCAGGATAATTAAGAATATCAATTACATTGTCAATACTAACATTTTCTCGTATATATGCTACACACATCTGAACCAAAGATTGCAAAAGATATTTCTTTGAAGCATACAATAATTCAAAGGCTTGTTCTACAGATGATATCTGAACTTTATCAGTATATATATAATTAAGTAGTAATTGAAAGGTTTCAGGTTCTATATCAGTTATTAAAACATTCTGATTGGTTGATAGTGGTCCATAAAACATAGCTTCAAATACAGGACTACTTATAGTTAAAATTAGTTTGTGTGCTTTGAAATCTTTTCCAGAAACTGTGAAGGTACAATCACTCCATTCTAAAGATACCAATAACTTTTTTACACGATCATATAAATTTGTTGGTGAGACTTCTTTTCTATTTAAGCACATCTGAAACAAACATATCTATTTTATTTATTTAATAATATTATAACTTGTTTTAGATATATATCAGAACCTACTTGGTTTTATTATTGACAATATAAAATTCAGCAAAAGCTTTTAATAGTTAGCCTAAAAGTTAATAAAACCAAAATATGATGTATATGGATCTGTGTAACAAGTTATTTTTATACATGGGATTTTGTCATGCATTTTTTTTAATTGGAATATATTATTTTAAAGATTTTATACACATATGCAATTGAAACTGTGCAAAAAATATTAGTTCAATTCTTATAAAGGTAGTGCCAAAATTTCTGTAACATAATGTGGATTTCTCTGATTATATTTGTAAACCATTTAAACCAGATTCAATCGAGGTTTATTTAATAGCGTGGTACATATATAAATACTTACCTCTTCAATGTGTGAACTGGTAGCTGGTAAACAAGCCATGAATTTTAAATTAATTAATAGCAGAATATTCAAGTCGTAACTTAATGTTAATTTAATATAGAGTAAGTTAATATAAGAACATAAATATTGTAAGATTATTATTCTTATGAAAAGAAATGTCAGTTTTAACCAAATATATTATTACTGTAATGAATTAAACACTTTCCAATACACGAAGTACCAAGAAACATAATACCGAATACTTTAAAGCGAAGTACTGTTTGAGAAAAGCTATATAATTATAAGATTATTCTTTGTTTAAAAATTGTTGTTGCTATAATAGTGGGTTCAGTTTAAGCCGGAAAACGATAATAAAAATTATCCTAATGTTGCCTGTTACAAGTTGCCAATATTTTACATCAAGTTGCCTTGTTCAAATTAAACAGAAGCTAGTTAATGTAAATAAAAAGTTAAATCAAATATTTTACCTTAATAATTGTAAGTGTGGACAAACTAATTATCTATATTATTATATTGTTTTATGTTTCTAATAATTAATCAATAATTATAATGAACGAATGATTGTAAAAATAATATTTGTTATAAAAACTAAAATTTGTGTTGTGTTTGTTACACATGAACTCTAGAAGTTTGAAAAACTTTCAATTTTAAAAACTGATGTGGTTATGACAAAGACCTACGGCTGACCATCGTATTAAACTATTTTTCTCATATAGCTTTTCCGATAAATAATAAAAACTCATCACTAGGCGGATCGGATTCTTTTATCGCCCCGTTAAGTAAACTAATAGCTTTATTGGCAACAAGTTGTGTAGTCTGGTAATACTTTCAATTAAGGACTTGTATCCATAGTCATGAATTAAGCATGATAAAAAAAAAATTAACTACATTGACAAATAAGTTGGACTAAAAAGAACTTGTATCCAGAACCGTAAAATATATTAATAAAAAAACTACATTGACATGATACAGCTTTGAATGTAACGAGAAAACGACAGTATCGTTACGTTAGGAGTTATCTATGGGACAAATTACGGACACAATTGGCTATTTGACAGTTGTAGAAATAAAATATGATAACTTTTTTTATGGTAGCTTCTTATAAACAGTAATCATACTATATGTTTTTGCATTAAAAAACCTTATAATTTTTTTATTTTTGGAAAATAAATCTGATTTTTATCTGTGGTTGACAAGGAGCGGCCATGTTTGATAATCGTATGACGTCATAATTCAATAAACAAAACGTTAAGTAATCTCATGTCATTTGTTCTATAGTTGAGAAAAATCACTCAAATATTTCAATTTGTGTTGTCTAAAGTTTCACGAAATGGAGTTAGCCTATATTAAAGCGGATAATGCAAATCTGCCCAGAATAGATTCGTTTATGATCGCAAATCTCTTTGCCTGTAATCCTGATTTTTGTTCTGCCCTGTTTATTATTTAATGTTTATTTTACTAATAGAACCAATTATAATATATTGGATGTAATTTTCAATATCATTAGGTAGTTATAAAGAAAAACAAAGTGTCATTAGGTAGAAATTAAGTTGGTTTATTGTATAGTTTAAGAAGTTAGGTTAGGTTTCATTTATTTTTGGATTGGAAATCAAACATATTAATTTTTTAATACTTACATCAAAGTGATCCTCACATAAGAATATCGCAGACATATCAGACGTAAACGGCATGTCAATTGTAAGCATTGCTTTCGAAGTTTTGGGCATTTAAGAACATGTATAAACAATTTGTTGGGATATTTAATTGTCGTACTTCGACACATAAGCACGGCATACGTTTTGTAGCTTGTCACTTTTGCAATTCCAATAAAATCTGTATTCTTATCACTCAAAACAGAGCGCCGTATTAGCCTTCTTTCGTTTATTGAAATATGACGTCATAGCTCGGAAATGTCACGTGACATAGTATTTTAGCGCGAATTTCAAACCAAGAGAAATAAAATTCAAATTTTCTCTATCAAATAAAACTTTTTTTAAAAATTAGATAAAGTAGGGGGTTTTAAATAAGTCTACAAAATTTATAAAATATATTTCAGAAAATTGTCAAGTAGCCAATTTTTAAACCGTTATTTTTTTCGTTTTTATCCGACGTAAAAGACCGATATGGTAAAGTGGAGGAAGGGGAGGGTATTGATAATAATAATGGGTAATGGTATCTGGTATGGTAGCATTAGGTAGTGTTAATTTTAATTGCATTTGATAACTTTACCAACAGTAAACCATTTTAAAACAGAAATGTTACTTCCTGCATGTCATTAAAATGTCAATTGACTTTGAATAATAAAGTATCGTCGCCAAACACTGTCTGCTATCTGAGGAAACATGTAAAGAGGGTCATTTATATGAACGAAATATAAAGTAGAACCTAGAATACATCCTTGAAAGTCTGAAGGAGCCAGTGTCAAAATGGGCGCCCCCCATTTTGACACTGGCTCCTTCAGACTTTACATAATTTATTTCAACAATTTGTTTCTGTCTTTTAAATGACAACATAACGTTCAGGCAAGATATAATAATAAATAATATCTTGTATTGAATGTACTTTAATGTTATAATACTTTAAATAAATAATTTATCAAAACAAGACGTTTTTCCAATGATCAATCAAGCATATAAGCAACTATGTCACTATATATTTACACTAAAAAGATACTACTACTGTAATTACAAAGAACCGGTGAGGTACTTCGGTGTAGATACTGTATTTGTTACTTTGTACTCGGCACGTATCGTATGATTTATAAGAGCTGTAAATGACAAGACAACGATGAGATTGCCAATATTTATGATATAATAGTTGCGAACTATAAATCTCGGATCGCTCACTTTAAGTCGTAGAGGTATTAAAATTTTACTAACTAATACATTCACTCCAAACTCAACTTAGAGAAACTTGTAATACGTTCTTGTTTTTTTTATGAGACTCAAAATAGACTGCAATGGAATATGATTGCAAATTTTGTTTAGCAAAACTTCAACAGGTATCATTCGTCTTTGGGAATGCTCTACCTAACTAGTTCACTCGCGAACTACATAAGACTAATTGTCTAAAAGCAACACACATAAATTGTTGGAGCCAGTAGAATGAAACCAAAATTACCAATGTCTTTACCCTAAGGTGTTTTTGTATAATGTCCTTTTTGATAGGCCTACGCTCAAAGGCCTCGTATAATAAAACTCGTATTAAGGGTTTTATATTTTATTTCTTCAGGGATCACTTACATCTTTTTGTAATCAAAATACTTTAATGCTATGTTAAATATTCTGCAAGTACTCAGAAAAGTAACATAGGAAAGATTTACAAAAACTTGGCAAGAATGGTACCGTATAATTTAATGTAAAGTTTGCCAGTATTCTATTAGTTTACTAAAAACTATTATAGTATTAATCTTGTACTGGATCAAATTTAAATGGTACGGTTCCGATCCCAAAATAACTTGCATCCAGATCCCTAAAATATAGATTCTGTATTGATTGTAGATACATAAAAAAATTGACAATTCGCTTTACCCGCCGGGTTTTAGATTATAATAAATTTAATTTTAAAATATGTAATATGTTACTTAAACCTGTCTAGATTACTTTAAAAATAATGGCCTCGTTATATGATGATACGGTTTTGAACTTTGATCTTGACTATTTACATATAACAGCGAATAACACGGTAAGTTATAGGTTAGATTTTTGAAGCATGTATAATTTGTTATTAATAACAAGATTTTCTAGAAATAAATTCTTTATAACTAGTGTTATACAAAATATTAAATTTGTAGATTAATAATACATGTATTAATCAAACAATTGGCCTCTTGAATTTTGTATATGCTATACTGTTATCTTGGTATAGTTTTGTGAACAGCTATCTAAATTAAATCAAAGACTCTGTTGTTGTTTTTCAAGTTGAGTACAATGCTATAATACACATATAATTATTCAGTTAACATTTAATAAGTCAAATTTGTTTTGAATATATATTGAATGAGGAATATTTTTGTAGTCACTTAGTTTAATGTGTATAAAATTAGTTACAGGTTCCCAGTAAGTTTGACAAACAGCGAAAAGCTCTTGCAATAGCCAAGAAGAAAACAGTTGCAACAAAGTAAGTTGTATTACATTAAATTCTCTGGTATTATAATTTTGTAATGTCATTGTTTATGTAGCAGTGTGCACACCACTTGTAGTAGAAATAGAAATAATCTTTATTCAAATAAACTCATTACAAGCACTTTTGAATAGTCATATTTTGATTCTACCACTCATTAGATTGCAGATTCATCACAAGAAGAATGAGCAAGAAACTTGTGTGTTGCTCTTTTTAATAGATGTTTTTTTATATAAATAATTACAGTATAACAAGTAAGAGGCTTGCGATAATCAACATAGAAATCGCTATGCACTCATTATTAGTGTAATCAGATAATAATGTCAGTTCTATGGATTTAAGGTTTCTCTAAACATTATTATCGTTAACAAATTCTTCAATTTTATAGTAAGCTTTTTTGCAAAGGAACTGTTTTAATTGACATATAAAACTGTTTTCTGGCAGATTTATAACAGACTCTGGTATTTTATTGTAAAACCTTAGGCAATTGCCATAAAACGAATTACTAACTTTAGCCAAATGACATTTAGGTAAAATCTGTTTGTTATTGTTACGTAAGCTTTTATTGGTGCAATCACTAACTCTTTTGAAACTGTCTATATTCTTCCTGTTATAGATGTAATTTTCATAAATGTATTGAGAAGCAACGGTGAGGATATTTGATTCCTTAAAGCACTCTCGCAATGACTCCTCTAGTGTATTTTAAGAACTGAAAAACTTTAAGTTATCATGTTTCTTATGACATTGATTATCAACTTTATTTTTTATTACATTAAATTACAAGGAGTTATTGTTGGTATATTTTTTAATCAACTTGATATCTCAATAAAACTTAAGAAAAGTTAAATGTGCATTTAAAAAAAAATTGATGGACTTATTTATTTTACTTATGTATTAATTCTGAACTATGACTATAATAATTTATGTTATGGAATAGCTGACCCAGTGAATTTTGTATTACGTGAGAAGCAAGTATTACCTCAAAATTAGAATTTAAATGTTTTTTACAATTGCTGCAGGATTGCTTCTTCTTTGCATTGCTAATTTATAAGAAGCAAATCAAACATCTAGCACAATAACTACTGAATCATAATTTTTTATACATGTACATTGAAACAATATAAAGAAATTGATTTCTGAATTTATTCTTATGAGTTTTCTTACTAAATTAATTTCTGAAGACACCCTCATTGTAAGGTACTTTGTATAGTAAAATTAATTTGTTGTTTTTATTATTTCTATTGCAATTTCTTCATGATTTATCACATTAAAACATTCTGAATATTTTCTACTTTTCAGAATAATTGAAAATCAAAATTGTTCAATTTGGTAGTATCTTGCTCATTTCAGTGACATTTCGTCTTTATAAGTCTAACATTTCATGGCAAAATTATAAAAGTGAAAGTGTGTCTATTGTTAGTTCGATATTCGCACCTAGATGGGTGATATAAATGAAATTTGATGTGAAGATAGATAGTATCAAGAAAACATCTTTTTGTTTATCGCAAAAGCAGAAGAAGTTGTAGATTGTCTTATTTTTGTACACCACAAAGTAAATTGTGATTATTTCTATTATGTTGATAATATAATAATAATAATATTATGTCAATAGATATGTATAGTTTTCAATATTTATATACTTATTTCAATATTATTGTATTCCAGTTCACTTATTAAAAAATATTATAACAAGAAAGAACTTTTAGATACCACAGAGAAAGCTCTTTTTGAATCCAAAGAAGAGTGCAAACGGATATGCATAGATTATAAAAGTACATTAGAAAAGTGTACTAAATTGGAAAGTGTAAGTAAAATATATTATACAAATATCTAAAAAAGTTTTTAATATATATTTGTGATTTAGAAATTACAATAATAATAAGAAAGTAGACTAATGCCTACATTGCCATCATTTACAAACTAATAAGGAATGTAACTTTTTAAGGATTGTAATATTTTGGGTCTCTATAATAAAACTTTTTTTTTTATTTTATTATTTATCCATACATTTTCAAGTTAATTGTAATTTAAATCATAATATATATAAATGAAAAAAGTTTTTCTTGTTAAATTTTGAAATTTCAACATTATACTGTTAGTGCACTAGTGTTACCCACTCACTAATAGCTATGCCACTCTATGTTAGGTTGACTGGTAGTGATCTCTATTAGAGATAAGTCCAACTTTGCTCACTTTGTCTATAATTAAGTTTACTGCTGTATTTCAAAGTGAAATAAACAACATATATATATATATATATATATAAATAATATAATTTTTCTTATGAATTGAAAATGTATGGAAAACAGTAAATATGTTTACAAATACAAGATTAGTGATTATAAAAATTGTTCTTATTAATTATTAATGTATTGGAAACACTTATAAACTTTGTTTGTGCTTGTTTTTCACTTGTAATATTTTTTTAGGATATCCAGATTTTAGAAGGCAGAAATAATGAACTTCAAATTAAGTTACGAGATTCAGAAGATCATTTTAATGCTACAAAATCACATGCAAATCAGCTTCAGGTACAATAACCAATTATTTAGTTATTAAATGTATTTTTATTAGCCTATTTCCTATTTGTTATTAACATTTTCTAAATACAAAATCTAAATCATTAGAGCAGTTTCTATGATACATGACATGTACAATTGTACATCTTTGTTATTTTTGGAACTTAATTTCCATTGAATGTGGCTGATTATTTTCTATTGATGATTTAATATGTTAATAAATTTTTGTAATGTTAAAATAAATTACTATGAATCAGCAAGAAAAATTGATTAAAGAAAAAAATAAATTGTAGGCTTTCATTATATATTAAATTATGTGATATCAAATCTAGTGAGCAAAAGTGACGAATTCATAAATTTGACACATCTTTAATTAACAGTATTTTATTTCTTTAGCATTGACATTTTTTTTGGCAATAATAGTTATTCTTATAATATTATTTGTAATTTCATATGTACTTAATTCTTTTTTTTGCTAAAATAAACGTAACTTTCTGCTTTTCCTCTCGTACTTGTGGCATATTGTTGGCTTAGAAAATATGTTGAGTTATTACTTTATTTTAATACATTTTTATAATGTTGTTTATGCTTTAACACATATAACATTTATTGAGACCTTTGAGTCAGGAAATTATTGATTAGCACCTCTTGAATGTTAAGTAAGATTACTCTTTATTTTACTCACAATTAAATTAAATTTTTATATAGGTACTTGTCAAAGAAAAGGAAACAGAAGTTGAAGCATTAAAGATTGAAAATCAGTTGGATAAATCTAATGTCAAAACTTGTGAAAAGAGAGTAACATCATTGGAAAGGGAAAATAATCGTCTTCATGATTTGTTTCGTATTTCTAAAGAAGTATTATTGGGTAAAAGTGAGTATATAGTTGGTCTCATTTTATTATTTAATTATAAAATATTAGTCGTTAGCCTCATATACCTTTGTATCAATGTAATTTGTTAATACAAGTAGTGACCACGTCGGGGTCACCACTGTTGCGGGTAAATAATAAGATGTTGCTGGTCGAGACGATGTATATTACAGATGATGATAAACTGACAATGTGTACATAGAAATAATGATCTTATATACTAAATAACAATAGGAAAATGTAAGGTGGGGTGACACAGTTTAGATACAGCATTGCCTAGTAGACAATATTGAATTTGTCTTACTAGACATTATTAAATGCAATTATTATTTTATGTATCTAGGTGACTGTGTCCCATACCTGTCATTTTCTGATATTCATATTCACATTGAGCAGTTGGTGGAAAAGTATTTATTGTTAGATGAAATAGCAAATAATGAATTAAAAATATAATACCTATATATTAAATTAAATAGACAGATTTCCCGTTCCAAGCAGAAAAATAGATGGACAAACCACTATAATAAAAAATAAATCTTCTTTCAATTCTTATGTTTATTGACGTAAAATCTATAATAACGAGTGCCTTTTAAAAAGAGAAATGAATGGAAATTATTTTACAGAAAAACTTAACAAGAAACGAAAGGACTTGGTGCAAAATTATGAAAAATACTGCAAGGGAGATAACAATTTCCCTGACAATTTATTTGAAGAGGAAATTAGTGATAATGAAACCTACGCATCATATGATAATTTAATGTCACCATATACAACAGAAGATTTGATAAATCCTGAAGAGGTATATGTTGTTACAATATATATACAATATGCTTTTACATGTTCAAATATTTATGTATTTCATATATTAGTAAAAAAAAGTGGCAATTCTTTATAACATGTTGCTGGTAAAATGAACAAATAAGTAGAATTTTAAGATTTTTGGAGTTTATTTATATCTTATTGTAACATTGTATTTCCGCCCTACTTTTAGATGATAACTTCTAAGGACTCAATATTGTTAACTAAATATATCTTTTGACTAGACTAGACTTTGCACTTGCCCAAAGTACTATATTTCTTAGCGTTCATAATTCCTCCCTTTGTTCATTGTTATAATAAGCAGTCCTATATTCAGTTACATTTTAGAATATAGGATTATTTAGATAATTCTATATTCTAAAATTTAACATAATTGTAAGCCAAAAACCTACATTTACTAGCTACATAATATTTTTTCAGAACTAATAAAAATACAGTTTTTTATTAGTTTTGTAAAGATATTTTGACTTTGTTATATATTTTATATATATTATATATATTTATTATAGTAATTCATAACTTGGCCATTAATACTGTACTTTTTTGTCAGTTGCAGGTTGCGTCGTCATCCACAATGATTCCAATTGAACATGAGTTAAGCATTAGGAAGAATGGTGAGTTGATGTTTAATATTTACATTTACATGGTATTCCGTTGACCATGACTCTAAATGGCCCGTAATGTAACCTAAGTTTTTCGGAATATTGTAAAATTAGTAGATTAATTAGCTCTCTCACGCTTAACTCTACGGACAAGTAGGTTGTTGTGTAAATTGATGTTGGAGAATGTTAGGAAATTACAGTATGTAGTAAATTTCAAACCCGTAACCCGTTTGCATAACCCGGTAACATTTTATTAGAATACATATTGTTTTTGAATACCATAATTTATCTACCAATGAAGTTTATGATCTTTTAGAGATGAAGCATGTGTAACTGAGACAATCAATTAGTTGGTCTGTGTAGTGTGTGATTTTTATTGAAAGCATCACATTGTATGTATGATTTTAAAATAATTCTATAAAATTTTTTTTACATTGTAGGTAAATCAATTTATGGTAAAAATGATGATACTGATAGATGTTCAGATTATAGCAATGAAGTAGCCAGTGCTGATACTGGCCGTGGTTCATCTCTAGCATATTCTGATAGCGAAAAATGTTTTAACAGTCCAGAATATTGTTTGAATGACAATATACCTATAAAATGCATTATCGACAAACCAGCACGAACAGTAGTAGATATAGGTACAAGCCCTATACCTTTTCATGAACTTGGTTATACGATAACAAATGCGGTTGAATCGTCGAATAATTATTCTAAAATTCCTGAAAAAAGAGTTGATCGTGGCGTAAGTCCAATTAAAATTTCTAAAAAAGGTAACAAGGATTTAGTTAGTTCGATACGCCTTGAATATAATGCAGTGAATAGCTGTGTAAACGATAAAGACCTTATAATTCAAAAGCAACAATGCCTGGAGATTAATAACAGCATTAATTACAATGATGATAATACAAGAGATTCTGAAATAGAGTCAATTTTGAATGAGATGCGATTTCCTCATAAACTAATAACTCCAATCCCAAGAACACCGGCAAAAAGCCATAACGCAGAGACGCAGCAAGTTGCTAGTCAAACTGATCACAGTAAAGGATATGTATGTCACGAAGCTGAAAAAGTTAGAGAGGAGAATAAGGTTTTGTATTCTAATATTAAGGATCTTGCTAAAGAAATTATGAACATAAAAAGTATACTTAAAGTTGGTCATCAAATTTCGCCAGTGACTGCAGATCGTGTGGAACACGAATCTTTAAAAGTAAATCAAGATAATAGTAATATTTGTGAAGAACTGGTGATAGTTATAGAAAGTGAAAACTCTTGTTCAAATATATCTAGACCTGCGGAAGATAACAAAGATTCTTTAATTAATATACAACAAAATCATACAGATGAGATTGAAAATGGCAAAAAATCCTATGTAGCACATCATGAACACATAGATGACATATCTGATATGGAACTAAATGACATACGCAAGACTGGACAAACTAAAGACGCCTGTATAGAAATGAATGAATCCGTGAAGGAATCACGTAACATAGTTCATATGCAAAATGGTGTAGCTCAGATTGACCAAAATGTAGAAACTGATGAGCCTTGCATGGAATCTTATAACACCACTTTATCCAGATTAGAATTTGAAGATCCTGTAGCTACATTTAATGAAGATACAAGAGATACAAACATAGATGAAAGGGCTGGAGATAATTTTGAAAAAACATTTGATGCCGTAACAAGCGATAATGACAATTCCTTAGCATCACAATCCGAGTCTAATGGAAGGCATAAAAATGCGACCAGAGTACTCAAATTAACTAAATTAGATAGATTTAGGCGGAAGATGTTGCCCAAAAGTAAGATTAGAAAGGAATTACTTCAACCTAGAAATCCTCGTTCAAGATCAAAACGTTTAATTCATTATAAAAATATTGTTAAAAGTAATTCTACAATATTGAATAAAAGTAAAAGTAATGCTAATGATTCTTCTTTAACATTAAATGATAAGACTATATATGAGAATGCTGTTAAGGTTATGTCTGAATTAAAGTCTAAACGGCCTGATAAATTTAAATGTAATAGAAAACTGGAAGTTATTCATAATGAGAAAAATAAAAGTGATGTTAAAAAAACAATTAAAAGTAAAAAACAGAAAAGTAAGGAAGTGGATACTTTGCAATCTGTAAATATCGCAGCAGATACTCCGGTTATAACTCGAAGTCGTAGTAAATGTGTACAACAATCCCAAATTGTAGATACAAACCTTGATAGTATAAGTGACAATGAAACATTGGAAAATTATAGAATACAAGAAAGACGAAAACGGTTAAAACGTTCGTCAATTGATAAGCCTGACGTCGAATGTAAAAGAATGTTACGTAGTAGCACTCGTCAACTCAGTATTGATAATAATACATCCCCGCAAAATGAATCACGAATAGAGAACAATACAGAATTATCGGGTAGGACCAGAGATAGCAGAAAGAGAGGAAATTTAGATATTACAAAAGTTACGAAATCTAATAAAGGTGTTATTAGTTATGAAGATTTGGAAATGTTTTCTGAAGTGTCAAATGTTAAAGTAAAAACATATCAAACTAAATCAGCGCCATTACCAGATATTACTAGTCATCCTAAGGAAAGCATTTTATGTCTCATGATTAATAAATATAGTACTTCAGTAGTTAAACATCAAACTACAAAAATATCAGGTGAGTTTTTCTTGAAATTATTGTATATTTTGTATTGAGATTTCGTTTAAAACGTAATACAAGTAATTAACTATTTAATCGCATGAAAAACATAAATAAAATTAGTGTGATATAATGATTGTTATTATTGTTTTTCCAGATTCTGTAACAAATTTAATATGTGAAATGATTGAGACTAGTGTCGCAGAAATTATAAATTTACCACCTAACGAAACGAAAAATGCTATGAATAAACTTGTGGATGAATTACAAAATTTCAATTATAAAGAATTTTTAACTGGCTTCATAAAATACCTACAGAATCCACAGCGAAAAATAGAGTTGTTTTTAAAAGTGAATACACCACCGGCCCCACCCATGACAAAACAGGAACAAGTTCTTCTTTACATAATATCACAATTGGCTAGTTCATGGCCATCTGTCGATATTGTTAATTCTGTTCTAAATAATGTGGAATATCTGCTGTTTAAACTAAATCGTACACCAGATTTTGATGTAATTGAAAGTACATCTCATTTTTATGCTATACTATGTAGATACTTTCAACTAAAAACTCGATTACGAGTCTTCATTTTAGATGCTCTATATTGTATGCAGTACAAAGCAATCGCAGTAATCAAGCAATGTTTGGATGTTTGGATGCACATTTTGCCATTAGCTCATATGGGAATTGGTAAGTGCTTGTTTTTACCTACAATAAAATAATTACGCAATTAAAACTGTATCTATAAAATTAGAAATGCAATTAAGAAGTAATATTTTTTGTTGTTTTTTCTGTTGCTGATTCTTATTATTTTCTATTAGAAAAGCCGTCTTTTTACGTCTACCTTTTGATATGAAATTAGGAATAGAGTAAATAAGAGTCTTTTAGCCCATTCATATTAAAAGTTAATAAATTTTCACCCGTAAAGAGGGTCTGGTGGCAATATTTTAAATTCTATTATTGTTTAAGTACTAGACATGATTAAGGATTATTAGCGAAATTTCATCTGCTCGACGAGACGTGCAGCGTCAGACTTAATTTTTATATGTATTTGTTTTGAACAATTTTTCAGTCTCAGTTAGTTGAATAAAAAATAATTTTAATGTAAAACTATTTTAATATGTTGCAGCCAAAAACCCTTTGGTAACTTGTCTAGTCTATGTAATGCATTTCTACAAATGTGAGGACACTTACAACCGAGTAAGGGATATTAGGTCTATTTTAAATCGAAAATACTCATACCAAATGGCTGAATGGAATGATATCAAAATGTTGGAAATGTTTAAAAATGCAATTAAAGACTTAAAAGGTATGTTCAGTTTTTATTAATTAGTATATGAAGATGTAGAGAAAGTTTTGTTTATAACATAGAATGAGATAGAAGTGTATTCATGACATATTTAGCCTATATAATTATATTTTATACTTATTTTGATATTGTATTTGTTTATCTTAATATCTATTTGGACATGTATTCCGGAATTATATGTATATATAATAATTAAAAAAGTATATATAAAGAAATAACATCGCAACAGTATTGATTACAAATTCGCACAATATGTATATTTCCAATATTATATTATTCTATACGATATTTATGTATCATTGACAAAAAAAATTGGAATTTCTTAGTATTGTCAGTTTACATGGTAATTTAATTACAACCTTCAGTGAATACTTAGGTCACATTAAATGTGGATGGATGGTGGAGTGGATGCAAAATATCATAATGCAGTATCCTATAGTTTTCTATGCTTGTTTATTAATTAGCTTATATTAAAATAGTGACATACAATACAGGCTACATTTAAAATGATATTTAAGCTGACTGTAGTGTCTTCATTGCTCTGAGACTAAACTGATAAGTGTAAATGTCAAATATTCAAATAATGTTACCAGCTGTACCTGCAATACCAATATGTTGAATCATAAATATTTTATTGTAGACAATTAGTTTAAAGTTTTCCCACACCATATAACACATTTCTTTCAAACAGCTAAGTATTTTAAATAGGTGTATTATTTATGAAATATAACACAATGGGTAGGTCATTTATTTTATAAAGACAGTCTTTGTTTACATACATGTGTGGGATATATGGGAATAAAAAAATATATTTATATTTAATAATACTGGTACTTTATAAATTTTGTGTTGATGTGTTCTAAATAAACATCCACACATATTTCTGATACTGCCATAAAGTCAAATTTGTCTCTGTGATTAAAACAACAGACCTTGTTATATTTATATCTTCGAACATACTTGGTATACTAATATTTCATATTTTACATCCAATAAAACCACTTGTTTCTTTTACAGATAACTCCGTAGAAAAGAAAATTCTTAGGATATCTTTAATAATTATAGCAAAACGTCAAGGTCCTCGATGGTGTCAGAAACATATAATTACAAATACATTACAACCAATTATTGAGGCGGATGTACCGGAGAAAATCAAATCATTCTGTGTGTCAATGTTAGGACCGTTGATGAAACCATATCCTCAAGACATGAAAGTACATTGTGAAATTGTCATGAATCAACTTTTAGATATGCTTAATCAAAGCCGTAAGTATCAGATTTAATTAATTGAAGTTTATATAATATATTATTGCCCTAAATATCTTTCTGTCCTCGACACTTTTTTCAGTATTACAGTGAAATTTGACTTCCTTTACGACTGACCGTTATTCTGACGTATGTTTGTCTGACATACATGGTTAGTAGTAAATTATTATAAGACATAATATTTATTGATAACAAACCCCTAATTTTATAGCATTTGTATATCGTTTGTCTCAATTTTTAGGATCAAAAAATATTTGGGCAATTAATATGAACATAATTTATTAAAGTATTAATTTTTAACTTTATTTTAGCTTCATCACAAATGGAAGAAGCAATTTTTACGAGTTTAATGTACATGAATAAACACAATCAAAATCGTGTTATACAAGCTTTGTTGAATTGGTTTCCTACATATGTGTCGCCGGAGTGTGAGGAAGTATTGCGAGATTTTGTAAGAGATAAACCACCGAAAATATGGAAGACCATTTTATCAAAAATATCTTTAATCAAAGAAAATTAGTATAACACCCCAGTACCGTGATACAATTGAGCTTACTATTGAAGAATTGTTTATTGTGATGTCAACTATATTGGTTAAGGCTTAATACAATATTTTACTGTAGTATATCAGTGACTATATAACATGAGTGTTGATGTAGTTATAAGTTATTTAATTATACTAAAAAAGTAATTGCATATTACCTAATATTATGAAAACTGTGATGTAAATACTTTTCGCTTCATTTTGGAAGCAAAGTTTATTCCTCCAAATAAAACGTAAGTTTTAATAAGTGTGTACTGATTTTATTTAAATCCTTTACAAATAATCTTAGCATTCTCTAGAATTTGGAGTGCAATATGTTAATACTGGCATATAATGTATTGATGATAAACCTTTCAACAAATCATAGCTTAAATATATTAATACCTTTAAATGCTGGACGAATAAATTAAAAGAATATTCATATTTTTTAACATTCGTAATACAAATACCTTACGAATAATAGTTTGAAAATAACGATATGTAAATAAAAAATATAATATACATTTCTTATAATTTTTTCGATTAAGTTAAATCCTTATTTATACGCTACAACATAGTCTCCAAATTTTATTTACACTAGTTCGATAAATAAAAATACATTCATAGACCGTCTTTTTCCACATTACCACAGCAATGGTCGGAATATGATGCAGAGTGATAAACGTGTGTGTAAGACTCGCGTGGCAAGTCAGCCGTCAATACAAAGCCATAGCGAAGTTTAAAACTGAATTCGCATTAGCATTCGTGTATATCGGCGGCAGATATTCGCAACCGCATTCGCGAATGCTTAAAATTCATCGTTACATCACTAATGAATACCTACTTATTATTTAGAAACAAAATTTAAACGTCAATTTTATCTAAATAATTCAAACACTATGCACAGATAACAAAATTCTTATTTACACCTATAATTAAGTAATTATGAAATAATCTTTAGAAATTGGTTTTATATTTTTTTATTTCCACCATTATGACATGAATATTAACCAATTGCGTACGAGCATTTGGTGTCAATAGTTTGACAAATTTATGATAGTATTGAACAAAATTTGTTAGAGCCATCTGTAGTAATCCCGAACCAGTGACTAAATTGGGAAACGATACGAGAACTTCTCTGTGAATCTCTTCCAGACTCTGCTTCCAACCAGCACTAAAGGATGCTACTAAAGACAGAGATTTTTTTTCCAAACTAGCCAGGAGAGTTTTATTTTCGCCTTCAGCCAACTGTTCTCCTTCTTTAACAAATTGCATCAACCCTCCGAAATGTGGACTCAGTATTTCTTCAACATATTCAGAACTTCTAGCTTGCAATTGTTCTCTGAATGTTTCTGCTTCCTTTGTGTTGTCTCTAGTTCTTTCCATCAGAATGCTTAGTACCATATCGTAGTTATTAATTAAAAATATTAATTGCTGTACCCTCTGTGGGAATTCTGCTGCCATTTTTAAAAGAAAACAATGTACTTCATCTTGGAGTACTAAAAGTAGGTTACTTAGTTCTTCAGATGGGAATTGTTCGCTCAAGCTAAGCATCGCAGCTGAGAACTCCGCATACCTTCGTGTTATCTAAAAGTGTAGAAGTTTGAAATATCAGTTATTAAATACAAGAAATTTTAAATGAACACAAATATTTAATATATTTAGATATATTCGCAATAACTAAAAAAACACAAGTGTTTTACGGAATTGTTGGGAGCAGGGTCGGATCGTGAATTTATGGGGCCCTGGGCTGAAACTACTTAGAAGCCTACCTAATTATATTACTCAACAAAAAAAATACGCCGACCACAAATAAGTTTTTTTTTCGGACTACTCTAATGTTGTATCCCGCAGCTAGCCTTTACCGGACGATTATCGGACCTGATTTATGGAACGGCTGAAGCTGGCCTTCAGCCGTTCCATCCTGTCTGACGGATACAATTTTAGTGTAAGGACACCACTTGGGGGTTCGAAACTCGGCTCAAGCCGGCGTAATTTAAATTGGACGAGGGATCAATCGAAGGGGAAAAACAAGCTACGGGGAATTTTTACTCTGAAAACGGATTACCAATGATTGACATTGATTGGAATGGAGTGTGTTCTTGCACCATTTTATACTTCTGAATTATACAATAACAAGTTATTAATAAATTAACTATAAATATTTTCTGTGATGTAAGAACTAACCTGTTATTTTCTCGATATTGAGTTAGACTTAAAAATAGACCTGCAGTATACCTCTCCAAACTTCGGAAGTTTATACACAAAATCAAGGCTAAGTTTAAACACTATTAATACAACTAATACTATTGTATACAAACATACATCATGGGAATTTATAACACGGTTTTCTACAAAAACGCTCAGCATTTAACTGATTATGACATTATAATAACATTTCAGGTTTAGGTATCTACAAACAAGATTAATTAAATTAACTTACGTAATGTGGACCTAACTCCTTATTAGACAATTTAGCTGGATCACATTCCCTCACACTTTGAATATTCAATTTTAGTACATATTCCAATCGTGGCCACAATGTACTTTGTAATGAATCCCAGTAACTGTAACAGTAATTATTAACATATAAATTACAAGAATTAATTCAACATTACATAATAATTATGCAATACATATTGAAAACTATTCTTACTATTACAACTAATAAATGATATTTTATATTAAGAAAATATTACCTATCTAATGCACCCACAGCCCGTTTGTGACACATCCATTTATATCTATTTATAAGTTGTATACATAAAAACAATGCAAGGCAATCATAACATTCCAAAACATAGTTTTCCACATTTTTCTGCAATGTAAAAAGAAAATTATTAATATATTATATAGGTCCATTGCGAAATCTAAAATATGACAGTAGTAAAATTTTTACATATCTTACTTGTTATTATTAGAGTTTGTATCATATCATTATACCATGATCTGTAATCTGTGTTTCGGTTAGAGATGTAATGTCGTAGTTAAATATAGGCTTAACATCATAGTCTTTTGGCCTAGCTAAAATGGCCGTATGAAGGACGTGACATGATGTGATGTTTATATAGTTATCTTTAGGAGGGCAATGGTGTCTGAGATACAGGTTTCCCTAACTTAGTGACTAAACTAGAGTCACTACTGCACTTGGTGTTAAATAGTTTTTAAGATCTACTTGCATTGTATACACCTATTAGGTATAGAAACTAAGTTAAGTTTAATGATTAATGGCTGTCATTTACCATTAGGTGTTTCAGAAATGTTCACATGTGGCTAAATTAATAATACTATTGAAGGACTTTATGTTAAAGAGGTGCCTAAATACAATGATTTCTTTAAAAAAATATTAAACAATATGCTACAAAAGAAAAACTATGATTCAATGTTTACAAAATTTCTCAGACCCCTAGCTGACTGAAAGATTTATTGTAGTTGCAGTAGCCCTATATAGCTAATATGAGATTAAAGAGCATTCAAAACTCGTCAAGTACTTGTGTACTTGACGAGTTTTGACAGCTACAAAGTCAAAGTCTGTGATTACCAATCATCTGTTGAATGGTAGGATAAATAATGCCTTATTGCACTCAACCATTGATAAAAAATACAATATATTCAATTATGATATGGTTTTAGAGATAAATATGTGTACCATTTTACCATGTATTGTATCATGTGCAATTAAACAATGGTATATTAAAGACTGGAAAATTAGATTAATAAATAATATCATTATAACATAGGTATGCTTACCACAAGAAGTGATAATGTCTTTCCAAGAATTCTGTCAAAAAGTTCCTGGGCATGGCTCCCTTTTACATGAAAGAATTCAGTAGTGAACAAATATTCCCTACAGCCATTATCCACTAAAGCATATTGAAGACTTCTGAATAGTGCTTCATATGAATACTGGAAAATAACATAATAGGTAGTATATACTAGTAGTATACTTAATTTTCAGTTGTCTTCTTTGTTTCAAAGGGTTCTTATGTTAAGGTTTCTGTGTTTTTAAGTAACTGTAACAGATTGCTTATAGTGATAAGAGCACTTCTTGTAATTTTTAATGTTATTTTATTATTCTTTATTTGTTACATGTTTTAGTAGTTATTATTATTTATTTGCATTATGCAATGTTAGAAGATAGGTACAATTAATTAGTAAATTAAATTTGTCTATAAATACAACAACATCTTATTACTGAAAGATTTTTTTGTAGACAATTTTAGGGTAACAGATACAATGGTAGGAAATGTACATGCAACTAGAAATAAGTAAGAATAATGATATAAATAATAAGGAAAATAATGTTATTTACATTAAGTAGAATTAAAGTAAATTACATAGTAATGAACCTGATAAATGTAATAATTTAAATTCTGTATTTTATAGATTGGGTTACAAAAGGTTTGTTCTTAGCAGTGTTTGATTGAAATTGAATTCCCAAAACCTAAGACGCTAGGAAATACATGTGATTACCTATAATCTAAATCTGAAGACAGAGTTGGGGATTATCCATTTTAGGTGGCCTTACCTTCGTTTTCTGTTGTACATGTGGAACTATAATGGGAGCTTCAAGTTGCTGAGCCAAAACATCACCCCTGTTCCCAATAGTAAATATTGTACTTTTGTTTTTAAGATTAGATTTTTGGAAAAATCCTCCTTTAGATCCATCCTCTATTCCCATTAAATCCTCTTTAGTGGGTGTTTCTTCATATTTTAATTTATCTAGTCTGGAGGCATATGATTTAAAGTATGAATAGTATACTTTGCCCAAAGTGTCTATATATTCATTGCATATTTCTTGTGCGACATTCCTTTCATTAGCAAGGACAAATTCAAAGAAAAATTTATACTTCAGCATAGCATTCTGTGGCATTTGGTAATTTGCCATTGGTTTGCGAAATTTATAAATTTGTTCCAAAATGTATGTCCTTATTTTTGATACAGCTTTTATTTTTAATTTCTCTAAAACATCTTTAACATCATGACAAGCTTTCGTTTCCTTAAAGTCTTGTTCTTTAACAAAATTTAATTTTTGATTTAAAATTGCCAACTGGACCATGAACTCCTTGTCAGTAACAGGTACATTATTGATAGCACTGAAAATAGCATAATTAAATATTATAAGGATTCATTATACTTCTGTTATTTTATCACATAGGAAAATAATGGAATGGGATTTTATTGCAGTGTGGGAACATTAGGCAAATCATCTTATTTGTTGAATTTATGTTAATTTAATTTTATATTGTTCAATCAGGAAAGCTTTAATATATTTAAATTTATGAAGGTGTAGTAAATTATCATAATTAATTAAAGGATTGTTTCTTAACTTAAATGTACTTACTATATAAGTGTTTCTGATACAGCCATATCTTCAATAAATGATGAGAGTGGTCCTTTTAGAACTTGTCTATTAGACAATTGGATAGACATACTTACAGATCGTTTCTGTAAGCTAATTATTTCATTACTAATACTTCCTAAATCATTCTGAAAGAAATGCAAATAATTTTAATATTCCATATATAATTAAAATAGAATTGTATGTTATTTAGAGTTCATCAGCTTTGAACGTGATGAGATGCAATTTACTTCTAGATATATAAAGGTAATAAATTAGCTAAGAAAAAAGAATTTCACAATAATACTCTTCACTCTAACATGTATTGTAATATCATTCTACACATTTACTTCAGCATCTCAATGAGGAAAAAATAAGACTGAAGTAGAACTTATATTTATTTCCTGCTTATGACCTCCTGCTTGTCACTTTGTTAAGACATGGAATGAACCAAACAATTCTATAGACTTAACAATTTTCCTCATGAAATAATAACAGTAAAAAAATACCAGTACTAGTATAATAACAGTTATGCATTATTTACTTTTAAATATGCAAGACAGCCAGGTATAGCAGTTTATTACACCATTGAGTTTTTGCATGGTACAAACATTTGTGTTCTTGAGTATGATTATTTGTATCAGCGTGTGTGTTTGTTTTTTATGTATACAAGTATTGAAAAAAATCTGTTTATGTCAGTTATGACTAATGCCTATTAAAAAAAGGCCTGCTTAGCTTATATTGTTCTGATATAGATTGTTTATAAGAAAAAAAATATGTTCAATATAAAAATATGAGATAAACAATATGACACATATTACTTACTTGAAATACCATAAGCATACTTTCCATTCGCCCCAGAATACCATCACATTCTTCAATTTGGTTGTGAAGTGAACTGATATTCTCACTTTCTTTTAAATAGTCCGCAACAGAGTTCTTTTCCGCCTCTTTTATACCTTTGTCTATTTGTAATGCGTATTCCCTTAAATCAGTGCCTTTTCGAAGCACTTCTTGTATTTCGTACTCTTCTAAATTTTTGTCCAAAATATCATTAACATTTTTTGGGTCTGACATTTTTGACCACTAGTTTTAGTTTCTATAATTAAAATTAATAAATTACAATGTTATTAACGTTTTGATTTTTTTATATTTCACCACCTATATAAAAAAGTACTTTGTTGACACTGCTGACTGCTAAGTGACTGCTAAAGTGACATTGACATATCACTGACATAACATTATTTTTGTCTTTTAATTAATTTTTGGCGAGATTGCTTTCGGTTTGTGTTGGATTGACACGTGGTTTCCGTATTTACATATTTTAAACTTAAGATCACTTTGACATTTTGTGTTTTTTTTTTCTGTTTTGTGTTGTGTTTGTTACTGGTGTTGGCGTAAGTATTTATTTTTCCTACATGTGACGCATCTCCATCACAAAAATGATGGATCGAAGATCCCCCTGATGGTGGGGGAACTACTGCTAATCTATCTGATCAGATGAATCTGGATACTTCCTTAGTCTCAAGAAAAAGACAAGCAACGAATGACCTAAATGCTGACGAAAGTAAGAAAGTTAACTCACCATCAGATTCCATCTAATCCGTATACACAAAACCTGGCTTTGAAAATGATAACTCATTTAAATATAAAATCACAGATTCTGCACCTTATTCTGTACATATTACCAGAGTGGAACCAGACACAGCTGCTGGTTTCTCAATACGTCTCCTTAAATTCGCACAGTTTATCCATAAAAATAATATTGTGGGTATTAAAGAGGGAGGTATAAAAGCATTGGGGAGAAATAAAATCTCAGTAGAATTTAAAACATACTCTGATACCAATAACTTTGTTGACAATCCAATCTTGTCAAATAACAAATATTCTGCAATGATACCTAAGTTCCAGATTTCTCGCATGGGTGTTATACGCAACATTCCCACAGACTGGTCTTTAGAAGAATTAGTATTTAATTTAATATCCCCTGACTATGCTGGACAGATAATTAGAGCCAGAAGGCTCAACACTAAATCACGCAAGCCTGACAATACCGTCTCTTGGATCCCATCCACAACAGTAGTCATAACATTTGAAGGACAAGTACTCCCTGAAAAAGTATATTGTTTTAATACTTCCCTCCCTGTCTTTCCTTACAATCTCCCAACTATTCAATGCCGTAATTGCTGCCGCTTTGGCCATATTCGCACACAGTGCAGATCTCAACCCAGGTGTTATCAATGTGGATCTCAACATTCTGGAGACAACTGTGACCAAAAAGATGAATCGCCATTCTGTATCCTTTGTGATAGTACAAATCATCAAGCCACAAACTCAACTTGTCCCGAACATGTCAGACAAAAGAATATTAAGATCCTTATGGTAGAAGAAAATATTAGTCATATGGAAGCATCAGCCAGGTTCCCTACTCCCAAACGGTCTTATGCAGATATGGCATCAGCTCCAGCCTATAACCTCTCACAGGCAACCATAACACAAACATATCAACAGTCTCTCCACTCCTCTCCTTCTAAAACTCCCCAGAAAAATGTATCTTACCGCAAGACGATATACAAGTCCCCAAGACCCAGACCTAACCCGGGCAAATCCTATGACCGTGAAGCCCACTATAATATCATACAGACCCCTAGATCTACCCAAGCTAATGGCTCTGCCCTTAGATATCACCAAGAACGTAATACTGATACCACCCCCCTTGCTACCCCAAATGATAATTTAATAGAACTACTTACATGTTCCCTAATTAACATAATTTCTAAATTCTCCGATGCATTACCGTCCAATGTCGTTTTCTTGATTCAGCAACTCCTATCCACTTTAGCCTCTAATAACGGACCAGCTGGTCCTACAGTGGAATACTAGGAGTATCAGACATAAAAAACAAGACCTTACCCATCTCCTCAACAAACATAAACCCACTGTTGCTGCTATCTCTGAGACATGGCTTAAGCCTGGCACTCCATTCAGGATACCGGGCTTTGCAGTCTTACGGGATGACAGAGATGATGGGTGGGCGGGCTCCGCCCTCCTTATATCTAGAAACGTGTCTTACTCAAAAATCTCTCTCCCTTCCCACAGCTTAGGCTTTCAGATTGTATCTGTAAGAACCCTTGGTATATCTTTCGTATCTGTATATATCCCCCATCCTAACCATTCACTTATTCTGGAATTACAATACATCCTTTCCAATATCCCTCCCCCCCTCATGGTTCTAGGTGACTTTAATTGCCGGCACACAATGTGGGGATCACATTGCACTGATCCTTCATCTTCATTCCTACTAGATCTATTGGATGATATTAACCTTTGCGTACTAAATGATGGTACTCCTACCCGCCTTGCAGGTCCTTCCCAGAACCCCAGTTCCATTGATCTAACCCTATCTTCCCCATCTTTAGTAAACAAACTCCTATGGCATGTACTACCAAACTCATTTGGAAGTGACCATACTCCTATTATTATAACAATAAGTAACTCCTCCAGCTCCCAAATTGCAAATCCCAAAATTCCACAACCTCTTCTAAAGTATAGAATAACAAAAGCCAACTGGCAAAAATTCTCCTCTCTCCTTGACGAAAAAGTAACCAACATCCCTCCAGATTGTAGCCATATTCAGGAATATAATGATTTCGTTTCTGCATTACTCTCGGCTGCCGATGATTCAATCCCCGTTAAAAACAGTTCCCTTAAAAAAATACCTTCCCCTCCTTGGTGGGACTCAGAATGCACTGCCAGCGTTAAACAACGTAACGAGGCTGAGAACAAATATAAACTAAACCTAACTATGGATAATTATGTCAACTTCCGTAGGACCAGTGCCCATACTAAAAGACTCTTAGCAAAGAAAAAAAAAATGGGATGGTACACTTTTTGTGGATCATTACCACCCTTCGCTGGTATGGAAAAAAGTCAACTGCTATCGTAAATCACGTAATTGCCCCAATGAGGACTCCAATGAATCTTGGTTGGAGGACCTACTCAACAAATTAGCTCCATCATATGTTCCTTCTCAGGACGGTTTCCCATCTTTTCTTCCCTCTTCCACTTCTAATAATAGATTGGATGAGCCGTTTTCGTATGATGAACTTTGTTGTGCACTAGACCATCTTAATGACTCTTCCCCAGGCATAGATGGCATACCCTATTCTTTCATCACAAAATCTTCAGTTCTCGCCCAAAAGAAACTGCTTGATATCATTAATGCTGTTTTCACTACAGGAATCATTCCTGAATCCTGGAAGACTCAAATTATAGTCCCTATTTTAAAGCCTGGGAAAAACCCGTCACATTCTGATTCCTATAGACCAATAGCGTTATCCTCCACTCTCGCTAAAATCACGGAACATTTAATTAAAAATAGGCTTGAATGGATCATAGAGACTAAGGGGCTATTAGCAAACAGTCAATTCGGTTTTAGACGGGGAATGGGAACTATTGACAATTTAAGCATTTTCACCACTGAGGTCCGCCTTGCATTCTCAAAAAATGAACACCTTATTGGTACCTTTCTTGACATCTCATCTGCATATGATAATGTCCAACTCCCAATACTCAGGCAGAAAATGCAACAGCTGAGTATCCCTGCGAGATTAATACATATCATTTGTAACCTCTTTATGTGTAGATCAATTTCTCTACGCGTTAATGGTATTTTGCTTCCCCCGAGGCTAGTTTGGAAAGGCTTACCCCAAGGATCGGTCCTAAGTCCAATTCTTTTCAATGTATACACTTCCGACCTAGAGACATCTGTCACATGTTTTTGTAAAATATTACAGTATGCAGATGATATTGTACTGTTTGCAGTATCAGATTCCCCACATGACTCTACATCCCGTTTGAACAGTGCATTGTGGTACCTAAACCAATGGTTAGAAGATCATGGTTTGTCTTTATCGATTCCAAAATGCTCTGCGGTTGTTTTTACCCGCAAGAGGCAAATCCCTACTATCCAACTTGCACTCAATGGTGAAAATATCAGGATTGAGGACAAAGTAAAATTCCTTGGCATGATCCTAGATTCTAGGCTCACAGGTCTTCAACACATTGCCTACATATCCAACAAGTGTGAAAGCAGCATTAATATTATAAAAGCTCTCTCTGGAGTTCGATGGGGTTCTCACCCCTATAGTCAAAAACTTCTATATAATGCTTTAATTATAAGCCACTTTGATTATGGTTGCTTTCTTTTAGAACCATGCAACATAATTGCCATTGCCAAGTTTGAGAGGCTCCAAGCTAAATGTCTGCGCATAATTCTGGGTGCAATGAAGTCGTCTCCGACTAATGCTCTCCAAGTAGAATGTGTTGACCCCCCTCTCCACCTCCGTCGCCAATTACTTTCTGACCGATTCTTCTTTAATGTAGCCCAATATAATACTCATCCTTTGTTTCGTGCCCTTGATTCCCTTTCTGATCTGGTCTCTACATCTACTTACTGGTCACACAAGGATCTGCCCCCAATAGTCAACAGTTACCGTAAACTTAAAAACCTACCAACCCAAATTATTAAAGTCCATCGAAATCCAATTTTTGAACTCGACTACGACTCCTTAATATTCCAACCTAGAGTCCTATTTAATCTTGGTATTCAGAAAAACTCTCCGACAGCCAATCAGGACCTAAATAAAATAATATCAGAAAACTTTAATGAATGGACCTTATTCTTTACGGACGCATCTAAAATAAGGGATGATTATGATGTTGATTTTTCTGTCTGGATCCCTAAATATAAAATAGCTTTGAACTTTAAATCCTCACCTATGACATCTACATTTACTGGAGAAACATTAGCCATTTTAGAAGCCGCCTTGATATTATCAGATTCACTGAGTTGCTTGCAGGATATCACTAGACTACCATTCCACTCTAAAAACATATTTCTTGCCTCCATGCAAATTCGTGAAATTCTACACAAATGCCAGCGTTCTGGACTAGAAGTGGTACTGGCATGGATACCGAGTCATTCTGGTATACTAGGCAATGAAGTTGTAGACTCATGGGCCCGGAAAGCGACATTAATTGGTTGCAACACCCACAATCGTTACCACTCTCGTGATTTGCGAAGTCATATGAAACCTCAAATGTTCAAGGCTTGGAATGACATCTGGCAAAAGTCACGGCTACTAAAAGCGAAATATTACGGAGAAATCCAACCGCTCATTCCCA